TGCCTTCCTTTCCCGCATGCCATTGGATCGCAGAGAGACACGGGATTGGCTGAGGCCAGGTGGTCCAACATGTCTGCGCTATAATCCGACGCCACAACACCACAATAGAAGATGAGTTTATTTGACAAAGCTTTTCGACGAACTGTTGCTTTTGATTTTTTTACGAAAGGTTGGGGAAATCCGGACTTACTGATTGCGTACGTTTTTTAATATTCTTCTTACATTGTTTATTGTAGACTCGTTGAAAACGCCATCCAGGTTAGAGAAGATCCCAACTATATTGTAAACAATATAACCTATCGCCCGGTGATGATAGAAAAGGTATTAAAGTCTTCTCTCATCAAACCTCTAGAAAAACGAATATAGGAAGCTTATCGAGGTTGAGGGGTCTTATGTGTCTCCAATGGTTGATCTAATTCCTGGTGCCATGTGCTCTAGGAATCGCATTGGAAGGTATTTTTTTGATACAACTGTAATGTTATAGGTTTCAGATGATTGTACCCAAACAGTGGAGGTCTAACTTTCGTCCTGTTTGCTTTCATTACGCCGGAACAGGCGACCATGTAATCGTGTTTTTGCTTGCTTATCTACCGGCTTTAGTCCTATTATAGACGTCGTGTATTTTTAGCGAACCAACTGCTTGATGATGGCATAGCCTCAGTCATCCTCATGAACCCGTTTTATGGGACACGAATGCCTATGGATCAGAAGTAAGCTGACGTTTATGAATCGCCTTCGTTATTAACTTTAGAGGATCTGCCCTTAATTACCTTTCGGATCTTTTTGTCATGGGAGGTGCGTTAATCCTGGAATGCCATACTCTTCTACAATGGTGTCAAAAGCAAGGCTATGGGCCTTTCGCTCTGCATGGAATTTCAATGGGTGGCTACGTAAGTCACGAAATACAGCTTCTTGGATGAACCGGTTTGTACATTGCCTTCGGAATGCGTCTGTTTATTGTTTGTCTTATATTTGGTGTCGTCTAGCTATTGTTTCTTATCACATACATTCGTACGTGCCAATATTATTGCGATAATGCAAAGGCAACTTTTAGCGAATATCATAAATCAATGGGTGAGGTATTTTTAGTCAATTAGCGTTTTGGGGATGGAATAATTAAATGCGATGGTGAACGAGCAAAATATTTTGGCCGTTCTAATGACCAACGCTTTGTTCGGATATCCATGCTTCATTGCTAAGCCTCAGTTATGTTTAATTTATGAGATATCAAATGTCTTTTTAGATGGCGACCATTTGTGCAACAACTGTACCATTTCCTATATCACTCATTCCCTGTCTTTCGTCAACATCCGCCTCCGTTGTCTTTGTTAAAGTACGTCTGAATCTCAGCAGTAGTTACTTTGAGTAATCGATGTACTTCTGTTTATGCTTATTTTCTAGTAAAATACTTAAATGTTTAGTTTAACTAATCCTCATTCGAGTTCCAATTCTAAACTGGACAGCTTTTCTACCCGTGAGATTTGCTCAAGTAATTCTTTTTCCAATAAACCTTTCTGATTCGTGATTGAAATGTGGGTAACTTTGGATCCTTTGTAAATTGTCCTTTAGAAATTGCTTAGCGCAAATTTCCATTGCACGTTTTTTAATAATATTATTCGAAACTCGACAAATGTAAGGTTTGTGTCATTGCTAAGTGTAGCCCAGTAAAAAAATTCGCATGATGTCAGTATCTATCTCTCAATTACGAAAAGTTGCTGTTCGTGCAATATTGATTTACAAATGTGTGTTAATTTCCGCTACGCGGTAGTCTGATGAGTTTAGGTCGTTTTGTATTTAAGATTCTGACACCAAAAGCCAGGCTTTTGTGGTCATCCCATAAGTGCGTCAGAATCCAACTTCACTTTCTGGTCACTTTACTGCGTCTTAAAGTTACACATACAATGCCTTGGAACAATCCAACGCGAAATTTGGTGTGACAGAGATGGTAAATTTATGATAGTTTCCTCTTCTAGTTCCTGTCAGTAATGTTGCTGTACGTCAAGCCTCTGATAATTAACATTCTCAGGAACAATATGGGTTTATTTAATATAGCTTAAACGTAGTGCGACGAGGTTCGTGGTGTGTATGTACAGTTTTTTGTGACTTCGTCGTGGAAGCCGCCAAATATTTGTCACCGGTTCCTGTTTGTGTTTGTGTTTACGAGGTCTCAGATTTCACTAATAGAGCCCAGTGTATGGTTTCTATTTTTTTTTATTTTTTCATGATTTTCCCTACAGGGCGTCTTGAGCCACTCAGTAGATTGGAAAACTCTTACAAAACAATACGTCCAGGATTCTTTCTACTCCAAAGTATTAAGGCCTAAAATTCAACCATCCATCCGACCGGACTTCGTGTTAAAAGGTAATTATCTGTCCTTGCTTTGATTAATGCCAGCTAACGCGGATACTTTCATTTTCGTCAGAACTACTCTCAAGTAATTTAAGTTGCCTATATCAAAATAGAATCCTCATACATTTATAGCTTGAAGTGCAAGTGCGCCCCAACTTAAATTTAAAGGTCCTGTGGTATGACGTTCCCCTCTTCTAGGTTTTTCCGTAATCTATCTATATGCCTCCAAAATGCTCAAAACAGTCCTCCCCACTCTCAAGTATGCTATCATTATTAACCCGACTCTTTATCTGAAATCCTTTTTTCCCAATTATTCATATTGATAAATGTAATCGAACCATTTTTGGATATTGTCAAATTTCTTGACTGGACGTTTCTTGGCGCATGTCGACGCTCAGCACACTATGAAATACGGGTTATTAGAAGCCTGTGCAGAAGGCACTTCTACTCAGTAGCAGTCAATGTAGAAAAGGCGGTGATTATATTCAGTTGAAGTATTCTTTTTACCGTGATGAAGGCTTGTAAAATTTCACCAATCCCTCAAAAATTCACTGTTGCCCGTGGAAAGCCAAAATGATGGCTCGGATCCTTTACGTATAAATTCTTGTTGTATAAAAGTGACGGTCTTACAATAGCATTAAAGCCTCACTCGCAAAATGAGGCGGTGTAACGATTTAAGTCCTAGCTATGTGCATTTTGTAGTTTGTCGCTTATAAAAATGTTATGCTATAATTCAACTTTGATCGTGTATAGCCAAAAAGCAGGCAGTTCCCTCTTCGTGGGAATTGACTTCCGACGCATCGGAAGGTGACAAACTCGCTGCTGAGCAACTGCTTGTCCATCCTCCCAAAAACCAACGGACACCAGATTACATTATTGACTTCCTCGGTTTGTATCGGTAAGTGTTCCCCTTGGATATCCATTGGATTTAATTCAATGAAATTCAATGGTAAGGGGTATTTTTCGATCCGATTGTTTTGCTTTCACCCATGTTATTCAGATTCATCAAGGTTTTGTTTTCACATAACTGTTCCAATTTCTTTTCGGACAAGTTAGGGACAACTGCATTTCGAAGTGGAAATAGTTTCACAGGTCGAATTAGGTAAAAGGGCAATTAATTACCCGACTAAATCTTTAGTACGACCTGTCTTCCTTCCTCACAGATTTCTTCCTCCTTATTATGCTTTACCTAGTGTATCATCTCTATCGCAGATGCTCACATTGCTACAAAGATATTCGTAGTGTTAGCATGTTTCTGTTCTTGAATACCCTTGGCATATTCCGATTGGTCCAATAATCAATATTTTCCAAGCACTTTATCTGGAAACAAATCCAATCATGAGCCTCTAGCTTTGAACACGATTCTATACCTTGTTTTCCTGCGTGGATTGTGATCTGCAAAATTATGCTTTTTCTAGCTCCCACCAGAAGCTTGACTAAAAGCTTCATCTTCACCCATATGCCATAGACTTTTGGGAATATTATGCAGTTATAGTATGTAACAGGTGTGACCCAGAAAAAGGAGTGTCAGATTCTGTGATAGTGCTACTATCTGGTCCACTTCCCCTCTACACTTTCTTTTGGTCATTTTGTTGACGGAACTGTGTTGGGGTGAGGGAGTAAACACGTCATATGCCGACAGAGACTTGTATATTGCAATTCATGTGTCTGGTTTGAATATCAAACAGATCAAACCGTCTACCATCGCTCGTCATTTTTTCCAAAAGGATCGTCAATCGGTTTACCGGAGTTTTCTTAGGCTTTACGGCTCCACAGAATGCCGAAGTTATACATTTTTCTGAAGACATTTCATGAAACTCGAGATACTAAGAAAACTGGTGAAGAGGAACGCGCCCATTTATTTAGTGGCCACACACAGTTGTTGTCTGGTCGATTAAAGTTTGGGACAACGTGCGAATGGTGCTGGGCAAATGGTAGTATTTGCGGTGAAAGCTATCGACATGCCTTGATCCTTAAATTTAAGGCGTCTACAATACTATATATTGCTAGAACTAACATGCTTTTGTTGCAGCTCTATTTAGCACTAAATAACCAACTAGGATGAAGTCAGCGGAGGGACAGAGTCAACCGTTTGTTCTAGAACTGGACCAAGTCGTCGTCGTGTGTATCTGTGGCGTTTGCGTGTGTGTATTTATAGCTCAGATGTGCGAGTCATAAATGTGCTGACATGGAGATCTAGGTGTGAGGACAATTCAGGATAGTCGTTCGTGCTAATGAGGAGAGATTTGAGGATCTGCGCGGCTGATGACATGCTGTGAAAAAGGGGATGTCTTATCTCCATTGTGGTTGACGGTGAGAGTCGTTTCTTCTCGTCTGAGCACTCTGAAAGCTTCATCATAGATGGGCTAAAGCGGTTGACGAATGGCATCGCGTCGGATGAAAAGATGAGTGCATGTGGACAACTCATTCGGGCTGAATGACAGTGGACTATGAGGGCGGCCGAGTAGTTTTCAGTTTGCTCATCGTCTCCCGTAATTTCTTATCGTAGCTGCATGGATCCGGCCATGCTGGTTAGGAAGTCGCAGAGGAACGTTGTCCAGGTAGTCTCAATGTTGTTCCGAAAACATTTCGGCAGAGGAACACTTCAAATCTTCCTTTACGGCTAATCGAATACCGAGTAGTACGAGAGGTAACGCATCCGTCCAACGAGATGGGTTACTGTGCTGCTAAAGCGTCTTTTAGTTATCGATGAAAGCGTTCTACCGTTTTATTTGATTTTGGGTGGTAGGCGGTCATTCGAATGCGGTTCGTCTTCAAGTGTCGTGTAAGATTTTGGAACAAACTTGATTTAAAACTGAGTTTCTCCATCTGCGATGCTGGTGGGGACTCCAGGTAAGGTGATCCATTTGTCCACGAAAGTTTTAGCCATGGTTTTAACAGAGATATCTTGCATTGTGAATGCATCTTGCCATCGAGGGAAACGGGTAACGAAAGTCAAAAGGTAATGGAAACCTTTCTAGTGCTGTAAGGGTCCAATAATTTAAAGGTGTACGTGATCAAACCTGGCGTCGGGAACGTTAAATTGTCCAAGTGGAGTTTTGCTGTCTAGCTTGGATATTTGACAGGTTGCTCAATTTCTAGCCCACTGTGTAATATCTCGATTCATAGCAGGCCAAACATAATGACTCGAGATCAGCTTCTTTGTTGCCCGTTGACCAGGATGAGAGAGACCGTGGTGGGCTTGGAACACATGGCGTCGCATCGGCTTAGGAAATAAGGGACGTTACACATCACTTTAAATGTTGCAGATGCTTGTATATGCGGATCAAGGTAGAGGGGTTTCAACCATCTTTAAGGCTCTGTTTTGTTTTCGGAACTCCTGCGATTGCAGATTACTGAGCGATCGCGATGTCCTCGAAATCCACATGTGTACTTGTGTTTACAGCGTCGATGTGCGAACTAGAGAGTGCGTCGGCTACTGCATTGTCCTCGCCCTTGACATGACGAATGTCGGTTGAAAACTGTAAAATGTAATCCAAGTTTCTTGATTCTCCTGATGATAAAAGATTGGAACCCCAACGGTTTGCAAAGGCCAGCGGTTTGTGGTTGGTATTGATCGTGAATTGCCGACCTCCGAGGAGATATCTGAAGTGCTTGGCCGCAAGGTAGGTAGCCAGAAGCTCACGACCGAAAGTGATGTAACGTTTTTGAGCTTCATTAAACTTGACTGAGAAATAAGCTAGCGGCTGAACTACTCCGTTGACGGTTCGCTGTAAAACTGCACCAGCTGCTGACGGATGCATTAGTTAGGCGAGGCAGAGGGCATCTGGCCGCTGATGGACTAGTGTGGTTGTCTTCGCTAGAGCTTCCTTTGTAGCTGTTCAAGCTTCACGTGCCTCACCCGTCATTATTAGTTTCTTCGAGCTTCCTCTAAGTAAATTGGTCAGAGGCAGGAGGGTCTGATCTGTGTGGGGAAGAAATCGACGGTAGAAAGTAACAATGTTCAAGAAACGTCGAAGTTGATTGATGGACTTTTCCTCCGGAAATTCTCGAATCTCCTTCACCTTAATGTCGGTAGGCCTTAGGCCTGCATCAGAGACGGTGTGTCCCAGGAATTCGAATTCTGGAACTTGGAATGCAAACTTTGATGGATTGATAATCAGGCCATATTCATTGAGGCGTTAGATAACGTCGTCGAGATGCTTCATATAGTTCTCTTGATTTTCATCAAAAGTAAGGACATCGTCGATGTACGAAAACACAAAATCCACACCAGCTAACATATGATGGATGAAACGCTGAAAGGTTCGATCTGCATTTCTTAAGCCGAAAGGCATTATTATGAATTCGATTAATCCGAATGGCGTCGCAATAGCTGTCTTGGGAATATCAGGTGGTTCTACCAGGATCTGATAATAGGCATGTACCAAATCTAACCTGGCAAACACAGATTCTTAGTGGAGGTTTGACGAGAAATCATGTAGATTTGGCATAGGATATCGATCCATGGTTGTGATAGCGTTTAAAGAACGGTAATCACCGCATGGGCGCCATCCACCATCAACTTTCTTGGAAACCAAGTGTAGTGCTGATGATCAGTAACCTGAAAAACAGCTGACGTTGTTTGCAAGGGGCAACTGACTTTTAGATTTGTTAGAGTGTCGATTAGACGCTTGTTCTTCAGGTCGATGAGTAGACTAAAGTGTCCAAGGAAATCAGCGCCTACGATGGGGTGAGTCACGGTTGTAATATTGAAAACCCAACGAAATTGTCGTCGGAGTCCTAAGTCGAGTGTGAGGGATTTCTGTCCGTAAGTAGAAATTGAGGAACCATTGGCTGCTGAGAAAACCATGAAGGTGTTTGGGGCTCGTTTCTCGAAAGGGCCTGGGGAATTCAGGGATATGTCAGCTCCTGAGTCAATCAAGAATCGCATACTCTTTGAAGACTCGGACAAAAATAGACGGCAAATTGGGTGTCCGTAGGCAGTTGACGTCACTATTACCGGGCTTTTTCGTTTTTTGGCTGTTGTAATTTGAAACTCCACACATGCACGGAGGTCTACATTTTAGGGCCGCTTTCTCATAGGTTTTGTGATACCAACATAGACATCTAGACGGTGATAGAGAAGAGGACCTGCAAGAAGACCGCGAGTAGTTCCGTCTAAATGGGTTGTTATATTCTCTGCCTCGGGAAGGCCCAATTGACATGGCATCGCCTGCTGCGTCAATCTTAACTAAGGTATCCTTCATTTTGGCGGGGTCCTTGGATGCTTTGTCCGGCGCTGGCACTTTCGATTTTCTTCGAGGTCCAGGGTTAATTTCGGAGACCTGTGTCGATTTGGTCGTTTCCACTATGAGGTCTGCAGTAGCTGCCAACTGCTCGAGGGTTGATACTCCGACAAATGGTTGGACAGCATTTGGTAATCATTTAGTAAAAGACGCTTTCCAGAAGTTTTCGTGCAAAGGACCATCGTATGAGAGCTGTTGCATCTTCCATATAATCTGGGTTGGCTTTAGGTCTCATCACGATACGTGAACTGTTCTACGCGTTCGAATGTTGCGATCTGTGTGCGTTTGAGGATTTCAGCTTTTAAATGATCATGCGGAGTTTGCTTGTCGGGATGAAGCAGCACATCCAATACTTCGTTTGCCAACTCACTGGCCAGGACTGAAACTGAATGCTAATATTTTGCATGCTAAATGACGATGTTATCTGCGAAAAATTGCACATCCAAAGCAGAATTTGACCAGAATGAAGGTATTTTCATACTTATTCCTTCCATGTCAGTCGAACGTTGATTCTGACGATTGTTCATATCGGAGTCACTAATTGTTGTGGACCCCAGCATGTGGTTTTGAAACACTCCGTGGCCACGGAGTTGGATTTGGCCCGATTACGCTACCCTGCTGTCCACGATGAAGTAGGAAACCGGAGAGGACGTGGACACAACGACACCAACTCGGTTGAACTCTGAAGTAAACGGTTGTGTCCACGTCCTCTTCGATCTTTTTATTGCGGGTAATCGGGCCAGGGTTAATTCAGTGGCCCCGGCGTGGTTCAAGCCCACATGCTGGGGCCCTCAATACGCCCTTATTTGACCGAAGTATCTATTTGTAGACATTGATAACATTCCCTTGACTTCCCAATCTCTTGGTGTCAATACTCTAGTGACACTAGCTCAAAACGCCCTATTTTCTAAAATACGCAATGGTGGTTTTTTTGAGCTTGCTGCACATAACAAGACGCACTTCTCTTTTCAGGCAGCCATTCTCGAACATTTCAAAATTACTGGCTTATGTGAAATCTCACAATCGCCTGCATTTGTATTTTGACAATCACATCTGGGACAGCGCCATGTCTGCCGTCCGCGCCGTTCCAATGCCCTCTGTCTTTCCTGACAAACTAAGGGTTAGTCGAAGCAAGCGCTTTTGTTGCGTTCTCTTATCTCATCCTTTATGCCAATTTAATGAAATCTTGTATTCTCTCTAAAATGTAGGCAAATCTTTGTTTTCTACTATTAAGTATTTATGCGTTTCGTATTGTAAATATTTTCTCTTTTTTTTAATTTGCGATCTTTGGGACGTCACCTAAGCTTTTTGCTCCTTTAGTGCATTAGTTTGTCTCAGCATGTAAAGCAGAATACAAGAAAACGGCTAACTTAAAATGATGTCATTTCCTTGTTAAGATGATGGTTTCGGAATATTACTTCAGCCACCGCTGTTCTTTTGTGAGATGCATTCACGTGAAACTTTTCGGTTTACGTAGGCACCTGGCTTTTGCATTTTCAATACTCGTGTGTGAAATCTTTTATTTTGATTTATTGACCAACACTGCATCTCACACTGAATTTCGTTGACTTTCGCTGTCTTTTACTCAAAGTATTACTTCTTTGATGTCGACCTATGTAATATACGACTTGTTAGTAGCCCGGAGATTGTTGCTCACCTTACTGGTGTTGTACTGGTCGACCGCACCCCGTGTGATCTGCCGTTTCGAATCGCTCACTCTTGCGGAGTGGCCGTCTACTTTGTGTGCCGCGGACTAGAACTCGTCCCGGAATAACGTTGTATTAACTTTCATAGCGGGAATATGGAGTAGTTTGGGGTGACTCTGTTGCTCCTGATTTATTTGATCTCGGGGCATTGATTCGGGCAATCGAGCCAATATTTGGTAACTGAGGTGCAATTTGCAAACTACAACAAGGCTGCGTCATCTTACAGACAATGAAACTATTCCTTAACTTCCATCCTCTCATTTTTCTCCGGGTTCCACAATTTTCCTCACATTGCAACGCATTAAAAGATTTCTTCAAAACCTCGTCTTACGTCATAAATCAAGTTTCAGTGGCATTGCGAGTGTTTCACAAAAACATGTTTTTTACTATATAATCTGTTTCGTAAATTTTTCTACCAGTTCCGCATGGGCCAATTTGAAAACAAGTTTGCTGTTCAATCCTTGGGTTGCAAAGTTCATTGGGATGATTTATTCAAACTTGTTGCATTTTGGGTTACCGCGGCGTATTTTGGTTCCATAGGTGCAACGAATCTTAGCTTTTGTTTTAATCGGTGGACTGGTGTAGGATAGTTCCCAATGTTTTGCTGCATGGCTGAAGACTTGCTAAGCAGTGTCGTCGTAAAAAGTCGTGTTTGATTTTTCATCAGTGTAAACCTATGTCTCATACCCCTCATAACTCCGCAGCTGAACTGTTTTTCCTAGAAATAACGTTCTTGTTCGACCAAACCAGGGATGTTTTTTGCTTTCAGTTGCATTTCAATAAACGTTACGTAAATCATTATCCAGTATTGGATAACACCTAGTAACATTAAGCTAAAATACGCATCACAGCATCACCTTTAGTACACATTCAGGTTAAGCTAAAGAGCATTTGGAAGTCTTTTGCGCCTCAAGAGGCTCGAAACATTTCTCCTATTGAGCTAACTGTGCCTCTTCAGCTATTTTGGTCTTCTGAATGAAAACTAAAATCAGATGGCTGCATATGCAAGTAACTGTACAAAGTTTATTTGGTATGGTAGCCAAATTCAAAATGGTTATATGCTTTAAATTCTAGTAGCGTTGTTTAATTGACTCTATTTATTAATGCGTCAGGTGGATCCAGAGGTACGTAATTTCCTCCGAGAGTTGCTTGATTTCTTCACGCATCTTGGCAATTTTCCGCCCGTCGCTGACCCCCGATTGGTAACCTCGGTAATAGCATGCAACGATGCCTACGTTCCCCGGGAGGATGTTGTTCCTCTCGGTGTAGTCTTCCCTAACTCTGAAATTCGGTACCTTCCCCAATCAGGTCACGTCAGTACCTACGTCAGAAACGCCCTCTGGAACCAAGACTTCCGGTGAGTCATGTGAACGATGATCCAGTCTTTGTCTGCTGCATGTGTTAGAACCCCCGAGGAAATGAGAGTTTTAGTAACACCACCTTCATCGTTGCGAAACCCGATGTTGTTCGATGGGAATACCTTTGAGGTTGTGGACTTGGAAGTTTCTTCACTAAACCAGCGTTCTCTGGGACGCTTTTGAACGCATCTCCTAATCCATGGCAGTATGTGATGTAGTTTCACTAAACACATTCGAAGCGGTTCAGTCGTTGACTTTAATTATGGGGTCATCCCTCTTTAAGCTGCTATTCACATTAGCCACATTTTTAATTATTTAAATACCAAATGGTGGATGCATTATCATTTGATGATTGTCTTAATAGGAACTGCTCGGTATCGTACCTCTTAACTTTTCTAAAATCGGTCGTTAATTGGTTTAAAGCGTACGGACTATGTTCTTGGAAGCTAAGTTTCAATTTTTGCCCCATTTTGGAAATATTGTGAGTTTATGGAGTGTAAACTTCTAAATTCTCACTTTTGTTTTCCTGCTCCTGTTCTTTAATCAATCCATAGTTTACCTAAAGGCTTAGACAAGGCCAGCAGATTAGCGCAGTTGCTATGACTTTACATGAACTCGAAAATGCAGACTCAATATTATTCCGCTTAATTCTTTTTGCTTTGTTTCAGAAAAGCTGTGTGTGATAGCATGAACAGACAAATGATGTTGCACTATGGCTTGAAAGAACCAATCTATGGCAAGGCGTCTAAGTTTATTTCAACCTAGTCACTCAGGCGCGACTCGAGTGTCACGCATCCCCTCCCAACCTCCACCACCGCACAGCGCCGAACCACTTGCTTCAGTTGATTTTGTTTCTAGCCACGCGCGTCGATGGCTTGCGCACTTCTAGTATTGCTTTTCTTCCTTATATGTGGTAACTTTTTGTAATTTTCTACTGTCGGGTTGTTTGCGGATTTATTACTATTGTCTACATGAATATTAGTACTAGCTGGGAGCAAACTACTCATTTTCTATTTGAAATTGATTCTAGGAACAAATTATGTCGGAAGTCACATTTTGAATACAATATACGATTTCGTGTCGTTCTCACATTTTTCTGGCATAATCTGACCTTTGGATGCTAAAGCGTATATTTTTACTCTAAGTTGCTCATTTAAAGCTAGTCTTAGTCGTTTTGATGCTTCCAGATAATGTGTTGTCTAACTGAGTTCGCTCAAAAAATCGGTAACCCTTTGCTAACGCTTGCGTACGGCCTCACTACATGGAATACAAAATGACGGCACGTTTTTGTCTAGGCGTTAAGTCCAGTGTCTGTTTTTGTTCATGGTCACCAACTGGTTATGCCTAGTCGAAGTGTGGGTGTTGTCTTCTGGCGTAGCGTGACTTACTTATGTTAGGCTACTCTGGTCCAAACAACAACGCCCTCCATTAAGTTATTCTCTCTCTATCCTGGTTTCACGCTCGCCCATTCCCGTACACGCACACACGTAATCGATTCCTGCATGCGCCAATCCAGACGACTGCGGCGGCAAAGTTGCCATGACGCAACCAATCAACAGATGAATAGGATTCATGTACGCGAGCATGGGCGATTCCTTCCCAAGTGGAAAATGAGTTAAGAGTGTGGACTCATTTGTTTTCAACAGGGCCCGAGGAGAGAATCCTTACTTAGGCAAGGGGTATGTTCGTATTGCCACCATTTTCCTTTTATATACGCTTTTTTTGAAACTGGCGCGCCACTATGAGGCTTTGTTAATAAAGAAACAGGCTGCACGCATCTTTTCTTAGTGTCTGGACAAAGACAGCGTTACAGTTGTAATGTCAAATGTTTCTGTGAATGAAAGACCTTGTTAGAGTCACTGCTAAATTAATTTTTTGAACACGTGCTACATTGCCTCGACCAGATTAAGTTTGTCTGCCTAGTGTGATATGTAATTATTCTTTTGTTACAAATTCAAATTATGCACAAACTGCGTAAGATGAATAAAAAATAATATTCACAGGTTATGCGAATATGTGTTTTTTTTTAAAAAAAAGACACGAATAACCCTTATCCCTATACTCTCTTAGCTAGTCAAAATTCGGTTGCGTGGATAACAATCGGTAAAGGAGTGCTGTCAGTAGCTTTGATTTTTCCGATCTTATCAGCGCATCATTACAATGCTCAAAAATCGCCACTCTACCTAAGCATAAAGCCATAGCGAAAGAAAAGTATTTACCAGGTAAACGGAACGCATTTGCCACTGAGCCTCCATTTCGGTGTCTTAATCCATTTCTTACGCAAATGTGTATTCCCTCACGGCTTACTGCACTCGTCGGGGTAGGATTTAAACCCGCTGGCACAATTTCATTGGACAGTCAGGAGTGCCGTGTGCAATCGACCTATTCGGACCCAATTACTCAAATGGCGACTCATTTTTACTTGAGCGTTCTTTTTAGTTGGCCATGCTAAGACTCAACTATTCGTGTATAATGGGTTGGCACGGAAATAATTTCGATGGTATACGAGTGCGCTGCGTAATTTTTGCAGCATTTTAGGGTCAGTTTTAATTTGGCGTGCAAAAACCAGCTTTTACGACTTTTTACTTCTTTTTAATGTAAATGACAGCAAGACTTCCGTCTATCAAAGAAGTGTCCTTTTTATGGTGTCCATTGTTTAACAAAATGTGCGCGCCAGAGTTAGTTTAACAATTCCGTTGTGGATGATTTCGCTCAATATTGACTAAAATTCGCATCGGCCTACTAAACTTGATGCCGACCAAATCGAAGCCATAATTGACACTTCGTGGTCATGTAGCTGTGAGTAATATTGCAGAGAACGTAAAATGTATCACACGCACACGACAATGTCAGCTGAAAATCATCCAACATGTCCTGCAGTCGCTAATAGTTTACGATCCAATACGGCATCATTTGAAAACGGTCAGGACTCGTGCGTAAGGAACAAGCTCAAGTGACGTTGAAGGCTGCGTTGTAGCCAAGTGATGTCGTCAATTTGATGGAATTAAATGGATGTCGTGTATTTTGGGTCGCTTCTAATGAGGAAGACGACCAATGTAGATATACACTGTCACTGAACCAGGAGGCATTCAAGGGAAAACGTGGCGAATCGACAAGGCACAGGGGGACCGCGATTCACTTCGTCAATGCCAGGCCTCACATATCTTTGGGAATTCATGAAAAGTTATTAAAGCTTGGTTAGGAAGTGAAGCCACATGTAGACTCCCACGGCCCTGTCTTTCCGCCATTAAATTACCACGTATTTAAACGTTTGCTCTTGGGCTGCTAATGACCTATTAAGAAGGAGGGAAGTTCTATGAGCGTAGATTCAAGAGGTTGACAAAAGAAGGGCGAATAGTCGTATAAAAAAGTGGAAGAAGCCTCAAGTAAGGCTTTTTATTTTGTTAAAAAGTTTAACTTCACACTGAAAAAGCGAAGTTGCTTTCTTGCCTGACCGTATCTGGGGCTGGCATCAAGTGATGACTGCAGCTTAGACAGAAAAAACGCTTGACTGTCGTTGAGCTCTAAACACAGAAAAGTCCTACTGAACAATGTCTTTTAAGGGGTACATATAACAAATGTATACAAAAAATGCGTAGTTAAATGTGAATTAAATAGCTGAGGTATAGCAAAATCGATTTAAATATTAGCACCAAATACTAAGAAAGCTGCAGGATCCCATCAACGTCACAAAATTCTTAATCTTCTTACAGCTAAAACTTAATTGCGGCCATAGCTGAGTTGTTATCGGTCTATTTTTCATAATGTTCGTGATTCGTAGCAAAAAGTAACCCGCATTAACATAAATAGTATACGATGGTTTACTTGTAGTACAACTTTCGGCAAAAGGATTCGAATAAGTTCGATGTGTTTAATTATATCGTACTTATTCAATTAATATTTTTTATAGTACTTGAGGTGGTTTGTAGATGTGTCCTTTCAATTGCTTGTGGATGTTTATTCATAAGTCAACAGTGTGAAAGTGGTCCCCGATCTCGAGGCGTCTGTGCAAATTTAACTCAGCGAGGTCATCCTGCTCTCATCCAAAAAGCAAAATGTGCGTGATTGAATGTACAGTTTAAGTTGGTTTAAAGGATGTAAATTTTTCGAATTCCAAGCAGGTTGACATAACCATTGTTTTTGTGGAAGACTGGTGATATGTTGTGGAGACCTCGCAGAACAGCGTATCCCAGTTTGCCCTAGAAACAAATGGCTGACCTTCAGGTCAAATCTCGGCTACCGATGAAGGCTATGTTATGCGTCCTCATGACACTTCTACTTTGGTGTATTTGCATACGAATGCTTGCTGAGAAAATTTCATTGGCTCATGCACAGGCTAATGCAAACACTAATACACCCTCAAAAGTGATGCAACACGCTGTAAGTCCGTGTCAGAGAGGGTACCCCTCACATGGTTTACGAAAACCACCTGTATTTTATGTGAGCATGAGAATTGAAAAGAATTTGCAATGTTTTTACAAAAGTTTGCCACTATCTCGACTGGTGGGCTCACTGTTAGAAGTCAAAAGACGTCAGCGCAAAACATGCTTTTTTATCGAGAAACAATGATATCTATTGCTAGTCTACATTCTTTATGGGAGGTTTCTGCTGTATAATCTCGATATTTTGAGGTGCCTGGTAAAACTGGATGCTTTGAAAAGTGACCAAACTTATAGCTCATGTCGTCTGTTCACTTTGTTGACGTACAGCACGCAAAGTAGTTCCGTTCCACTTTAAAATCGACATTTCTAAGGCTTTGTAAACGTTTTTGCCAGTTGATGTTTGGTATTTCAGACCAGCCTTTTGTTAACACGTGCAAACCAGGTGAAGTTAACCTGAATGAATCAAATATATGTCGTAAATAACTCAAAAAAAGTGAACTTTGATTTCGAGGTTTTGTAGTTCAACAAGACAGCACACCCACTAGTATTTATGTCATTAGTTGACGATCACGTCGAATGAACAACAAAGCATTTGTGTTTGTCATTTAGAAAGTGGTGCAAAACTTTCTTACACACGAAGTTACAGAGCTGTGATGAAAGTTATCGAACTATTTTATAGCCTGAATGCTCAAATTTCTTAAATTTTGCTTTCTATCACGAATAGCATACTTTATGAAGCAGTCCAATTATTTCTGCTCCATTTTTCATAAAAGATTGTATGCCATTGACCATAGATAAGCACCACGCAACTAAACGAGAATTTTATTCTCCTTCATAAATACTTCAAGCTCTTCTGGTAAACCCTGTTCGTTGACAAGCCACTCAAGTGTGCCTTTAAGTTCTTTTTCATTTAGCCAACTTGATAGCATCCACATATACTCCAAAAATGCTCTGTCAACTTCTCTTCTTTTGGAAGGCTCAGATCTCCTTTCCTTTGGTACGTTATCCTCACCTTCCTTTGGAAATCCAATCCTGTCAGTGTACAGCAAGCCATGCAAGGAGTCTCTCAACTTCTTAAAGGGTCGAAATAGAGAAATAAGGCACCTTAAGAGGGCATTTCGCATTGTCATTTGCCAGAAGTAGATTACCCATGTGTGCAAGAGGTTCGCAATTACTTCACAAAGATTTATCAGATCGAAAGTTGCAAAGTAGGATACTAGGGTTTCACGTACTCCCGATTCAAAGACGTGGCGTCGTCCACTACCATAAATGACATTGGCGAAGGCAAATGTGACACAGCCTTGAATAATCCTTAACGTGGCTATAAAACCCGCGTGTACATACACCACTCGAAGACATTCGCAAGTACGCAGAGTTTTTTCTCGTAGTTTTTGTAAACTGGAGAAGAGCAGAAACTTAGATTCACTATTGAACCTAAGACATATTGCAGTTTGCCTAAGGTGCTGCCTTATTTGGTAGAGCTGGAAACAAGCTATCAGTATGACAAGAGATTGTGCGAGCGCATCACAGAAGAGTGCCTTGTGGACCATGTAGAAAATGACCAGGGCATGAGGCCACTCCGGGTCCGGGAGGCAGGCGAATCGGTTGCCAATGGCCCACACTCCGTGGACAATCGGTGAGGCAGCTGCCATAAAAGCAGCAACGAGGACGCAGGCCATATTAAGGAGTCCCATGGTTATGTTTATGGTTTTGCGTTCACTATGTAACTCGACCGAAAAAACGTGGAGCAGACAGTGAGCTAATAAAAGGTTAGCTCGGCAGGCACAAAGGAAGGACGTCAGAAAGGCAATGAATTTGCAGGAACGATGACTGGTTATGGCGAAGTCAATCGCTGGCACCCCCAACCACGGAAAACCGCGGAGAAACATTGCACCCATGACATTGTCATTTATTAGTGAGGCTAGGACAACTATGTTGTATGTTATACCAAAATCCCGGTGAAAGCAACTACGCGGATTCATCGATATAAGGACAAGAAATAGAAGGATATTGCAAGTCATCGTAATACCAATCAGAGGCAATGAGAAAATTGTCGAGAAAAAGGTACTGCGGAGTGCAAATCTATTTCCAATCAAATCGTACATACCAATCCCATTTAAAAAGTATTCTTTGCATTGTAAATCAGCGTTAGCTTGCAGTTTATAACAATGTTCCATGCTGTAACTTATTTAAAGGTAGAGTTAACGCTTGTACAGGGAGTCAGCTGATTAAGATCAATGCGAATTATTAACTCGAAAAGTAAACAAAATTTAAGACAAGGATTTCCACAGATCATTCATGAAAATGGTAATTGAAATTCCCCTTTCTTTGATTTTGATTTCGTCAAGAGCCCCATAATTTGGAAATCAGCTTTTTGTGTTTTTGTTGATAAGATTCACTAACCTGGGTGACAAAGGGCACCCAATATTGTTTATTCCAAATCAAAAACTTTCTCCCTCATAAATAAAAATGCAGTTATCCAAAAATCGAAACGAATATAAATGAATGATTCTGTTGGACAGTCTGTCTGAACCCTTATACTATCACGTGGTCTGTTGCTTCACACTTTAATTTATATTTCAACCATTGACCACCTGCGTGGTTTGGGGTGTCTTGTTATTCTCATATCGGAAAGCCAACAAGTGTCAGACCAAGATCAAAAGTTGAATTTATTAATTCAAATGGTCACTTAGATGTCTTGCAATTTCATTTGACGATATTTTAATAAGGTTCTATTGCGTTTGCCAAAAAAAGTGGTGTGGTGCTAACATTTTTCACAACCAAAAGTACTTTGTTTGGGAACAGGATGAAGTGACAAACAGTAACAACGCGTTTGGTGAATGAATTCGAAAAGTAAGTAAATGACTGGGGGCAGAATTTTGATTGAGTCGTCCATTCTTTAATGAAGCATAAGAAGTAGATTTATAACAAATAATCTGTTAGAAACAGTGAAACACAGATACCTTTTAGCAGACAAGACCTGGTTTGCTAACATTCTAAGCAAGAGAAGCCTCTCTTAACTTGCCTCGGCTTTAATGAGCGCCTTATGTTTACATCTTTGGATGTGGGTAGTTGTGAACGTAGAAACTGGGGCGTATATTCTTTTAAGGTCACCAAGACAACCAGAGGAACGGTGATAGCAGTTGCAGAACAAAAATATCAGTGTTTCCATGGCAAAAGGTCGCTTTTTGGGGCGTGTTCGGGCCAGCGTGCAGTTATAAGTGGTGCAGCCATTGGCAACAATATTTGTGTACTATGCTTTCAACAGTTACCTGAGGACTCTTGACGTAGTTCCCCGATTAAAATAGCAGGCGAGACGGTAATCATAGCAGAAAAATGAAAAGTAGTCTAATTTTAGGAGTCTTGTGAAAGAACGGTAGATTCAATAGCGTGTCATGTATGTGAAAGCGTCCAAAAAACCAAAAACCCATAAATTTGCCATTGTCCTCAGATGACAGAGGATGGTATTGACAGACATCACCACACAAATGTAAGGTATCCTTGTTGAGCAGGGCACGAATTAATGATAAGAAGTCGGTATTTATACCCTTGACTGGAAAAATTAAGCTCTCATTCGGCTTCAAATATATTTTTAGTGCATTATTTTGAATCCTGACACCTCGGAATGTACGTTCAACATAATTTGAGACGAAATTTAACGGTGAAAGCTTTTTATAATTCTTCAAACTTATCAACTCTGACCCATTAAATTAACCTTGATGCAAAGTTATAAGTTGTGAAACCGATTCAGAAGCACACCTAAGATGGTAGTTAAAGCATTGGTTGACACAAAACAGTGTATAGTTATGTGTTACCGAAGAACCTTCGACTTCAATGTTGACCAGCGAAAACCACGTCAGTGTCAATGGAAAGGTAAGGAATTATATTGCCTCACTTGGACAAGCGACCTGAAACTCTCACTGGACCACTCTGGAGGAACCGCGTCACTAGCCTCGGCAGCGAGCAACGCTGCATCCATTCCACTCTAGAGCGCTTGAATTCGTAAAATGTTCAGCCAGTATTTTACAGGCTGGAAACTCAGTAAAACAGTTGGAGGCAGGCTTTTCTGAACAAAACTGATATTCAACATTTCAGAAACTGCAGATGTTAGCCAAATGGCACGATCGTGACTTACTTTAGTGGTTATCAGTGCTACTATTATGGTAGAGAAAACGAAGAAGCATCGCCTAGAGAGGTGTCTGTCTCAGATCTGGATGTGACATTGTGGTGGTGGAACAAGTTACCGTGCCAAAGGATACTGTTCAAGGTAAACCGCTTCCGTGGGTTACTGTGTTAGAACACAATCCAACCTATAGAAAATACAAGTTCTTTCCCTTTGTACCGATATGAGAGCTGAACCTAGAAGAAAGAAACCTGTATTTCAGAGCTCTACACAGAGGAATCATTTTACTTATTTTATCGTAAAACAAGAAAGGATCTGTGTTCCTGTGTGCAAAATCCTCAAGGGCAGTTTCAATGGGTTATTAGCCAGATGTGGACTTCTTAGAAGGACTTACAGAGGATTTCAACGGACAGAAAGACCTTCATGTCTTCATTTGCTAAATCCATTTACGGTTGATAACGCAAACGCAACCGCTCAACTAAATACGTGATGCTAGCCTTGTTGCACTTGGAAGTAGGAGTGAGAGGCGATGCCGGGGTTGGTCCGATGGCCTCATCGAAGTCTGATAACACAGAAAGGCTAGTACCTTTCTATACACTAGTCAAATGGAAATCTGCAAAGCTAACTAATGAAGAAAGCATCCAGGATCCTAATTAGTTCATCACCTAACAAGAACACCAATCCGAGCCAACCATGGAGATAAGGTTACTACGCATGCGACGACGTAAGAACCAAATTGTGAATGTTGATCTTTTTATAACGGACATTGATTGAGCATATCGCAAAGCCACTGCTCAATAAATGTTTATATTGTGACAACGCTTCAGTTGAAATTCATCGTAACACAAGCACAACTCATTGCAAAGTTAACAAAGCCGAAATAATGTAATGTACTTGGGGTCCATCAGACAATTCGCGAAGGCTTAGCACCCCACTGTCCATCACCTATGATGACGTTAAAATGAGCGGTGGCTACACTCAACTTCATTAATCTATCAACTTGACCAGGTCCTATCAGTATTTAGTAGTTTGATGGGATCGTAAGGATCTGAAGTTACTGCTGTGCTCGGTTGGGAAAAAATTATGAGTAAAAATCCCAATTAGTGGAAGTCAAATAACGTTTTTTTTATAAAATGGTACACAGAGCAAAAATCAACATAACAAGGTTTTGCATAAAACACCAATTATAAACGGAAGGAATAAAACAGTTGAGAAGCGATCGGTTAACGGTTGAAATGGGGAACGAGGTAAGTCAAGGAACAAACAACATAAATGCAGTACTGACAGATCCAAAAAGGATCAAAATATAGTGCCAAATCCACGGCAGAGTCCAGCATCTGGAACCACAAGACCCGATGTTGTGCCATCATCTTTAAGACAAATAGCGATATTTAGTGCACTAAGATAAAGACATACGTAAATAATAGTTACGATATTTTAAATCCTTTTTTATCTCAAACGGTAAATTTGGTTTAAAGGAGAGTATATGGATACTGTGATAACGAGACTGCGATGTAGACATTGCACGTTGGATTGTTCCACTAGTATAAAGAACAAGAGTGCAGTAGGACTAAGATGGCTTATTTAGAGAGGCGGAATTCCAACCAATTTACAGCAATTAAAAAAAAAGTCTCAAAGCATGTAGTCCAACCAATTTATCAACAAGGTGAAATGCATAACTATACGTTACTATCACAACAAACCCTGGCCGGTATTGCATCAAACATCGACCAAAAAATTGACAAAAATATGTTAATGGACCCACCACCTTGATAGATCGGCAGCTGGTAAGGACGCACGACAGAGGAAACCACAGCAACTCTGTCAAACAGAAAATCGGCTGGTTCGAACAGTAACAGCGCGACAGGAGAATCTAGTAAGTTAGACGAAGCATGCAGATATACCGTCATCAGAAGGCGGGAAGCACTTTTCTCTCTCACAATCGCACAATGAATGCTGTTTCGAGGAACTTTTTGATCGTTTAGCGGTACTGTTTAGATTTATTGCATTCGAGTTAGCGACATTTAGTCCCTTTTTTTTGGAGTCCTTTTCATCTTTTCCATATAGCTTGCTTCGTGCAAGCGACAGATTATTTTCAACGCTGCCGGCAGCGATCATCGGAAAACACGAATGACGGGTAAACGCACTAAGCGGGTGAATTATCGATGCGTCAAAACACAGTTACTTACAATTTTGACCATATATTAGGACTTACCTCTCTTAGGATTAAGAAATATTTACCTCCTATTTTAAAGGTGGCGTTTCATCTCCCTATCATTTATGTTAATTAATCAAGGAAGCAGCCAAGAACAGAATTTTATTAAATGAAAACGCTGATTAGAGCAATTCAGGGATAATATTGTACTAAGACATTTGGCTGAGGTAATCAAATGCATAGTACCAATGGAATGGATGGTGTTTACCGGCTTAATTGCTTTTGGAAAAAAACATATAGCCGAAAAAGAATAAGTCATTTAAAGTCTATGATTGGCAATCTCTGAAAATAGGCCAGTTCGGAGGGTTGGAATGGCCTTGTCATACTGACAGTCCATTGCTGTTGTTCTATAAAAGAAATTGCTGCGATAATTTGATTTATCGCATCGAAGGCAACAATTGTACCATAACTTAGTTCAATATACGTAAATGCAGACGAATTTAAGTCATGTTTCCTAATGCCATTTAAATAGGGAATAATCAATTTTTTTGCAACATAGGGAATAAAATGTAACGTTGACGTGGAAAAAATGCCAATAAGCAGTGTCTTTTCATATTTTCCATACTTATTTGGTCTTAATAATCCCGTACTGTAGAAATAGAAAACAAAACCTCATTAACGTATTGCGTTCCGTCTGCATCGACGTTCTTAAGTTGGACCCTAAGAACGGAAACCAAAACGTTTTCAAATTCGAATTTCGGAATCAGAAACTGAATTTTTTCATTGTACTATTAGCAGTTCTAGCTGCCATTTTAATTAAGAAATTGAGCATAGTTTGCTGTGTTCAGATTGTTTTCAACACCTACGAATGCTCAGGCTGAAGGATATCATGAAAGCTATAGTGATTCTATAGTCTGCGTTCCAAGTAACATACTCAACTTTCGTCTGCCATATTCCATATCCCTAGAAAAACATTTAAATTCTGCATTCTTAGACCATCACCCATGTAAACAGCTCATCACTTCATTTCTACTACCGTATTTATCAGTCGCGATCTATTTGAGTATCACAGACCTATTTTGTTTACTAAATTTGTTTTGCTTCACTGTGCTGTAAATGGGCTCATACTCATCCTGTTGTGTGAAATGCTATGTGATATAGGCAAGTAAAGGGTTCAGAATTGAGTCTTAGATGGAAAAATGTGAGCCTTCCTCGATGCTACAGCGTATCATGAAATCATCTGTCAAATGCTGTCTGTCTACACCAATGCTAAAGAACTCTTTGATCTAATCGCCTGTTAAGGCTAGCTAATGTTATACGCTTGGATAAACCGGTGCAGACACTACCAGTATATTACACTTTTCCAGAATAAAATTCGTCCCTCGTACACGAACTAGTCCCTACAACGGCCTTGGAGAAGTAGATAATTGAACAATTTTACCAGCGACAACTGCTTTTACTAGTTTCTCACTGCCTGAACAATCATTCGAGTTAGCCCAAAGCTAGTATAAATTTAATCTAGCTAGCCTTCATAAACTATGCCAACCTGCTTAGTCTAAATGAAACTGCAAATTCTGAAATAGGAACTATGACGGAAAAACTACTGGCAGTTACAGTAAACTACTCCATAAACATGTTGGAGTAACCAGAAAGCCATTAGTGTCAAAATCGTCTAAACCTTTACTCACAATATGCTAATCTACACAAGTTCTTGTGGATAAATACCCAGTAGATGTAATGTTTCAAAAACGAGAGACATGGATTATATTAAGTAAATTCAAACAAGTATCAAAAATGTGTTGCTCCAAGATGACGGAAGACAGGAATTTCTCTAAACTCGGAATTGCCTGAAAAGAAATATGGTTAACAATCTAAAATCTTTAAGTTGAAATAAATATGGGCTTAGCTAGCATTTTTGATTGTAAACATAGTGAAGCAGCTACTAACGATAACACAAACACAACAAAATTACCCACAGGCTTTCGAAGTTGAAAACAGTCATCATTTTTTACTGTTTCTATAATCTGAGACAAAATGCTCACAAGTGTCAGCACCTAATTTGATCACTTGTCACTCAGGGCAGGATCTCAGATACCAACTCAACTACCATAACTTGAACTTTTACACTAAAGACTTAAATACTAAGCAGAATGTGAACATTTGTTGTGGGCCATTCGAGTCGTTCTTTGTAGCCACACATTCATGTTAGGACAACAAATTTGGAAGCATCTTTACGAAAAACCGCTTTATACTTGGTGTCACAATTGACGCAGTACACCTAGATAATGAACACTGAAAAATAAAGACTTGAAAAATGGAAACTGAATAGCCCAAAAGTGGACTAGAATAACGGGTAAACAAAGTTAATGCAATAATCGATGGGAGAGGTGCGCACCTCGGACAAAAGTTGGGTTTAGACCAGCAGGACCACGTAAACCACCAGGAATTTTCACAGTTTGGCAGGGTGCAAATATTGCGTTCTGGACTCCAACAAACTCATGCAAAGCGCTAAAAGAGGGCCAGTCCAGGTCGTCATCAGCAAGAGCGACTAGGCACAGAGACGTCCAGGCAGGTAGTGGTGCCTCGTCGAATGTCGTCGGAGGCACCAGGGAAACTGGTAGTTTGAGGATGATGGGGGGACACTCTACGTTAGCATCTGTGGTGGTGACAATTGGATCCAACGATGTAGCAATGCTAACTTCTACGTCGTAACGGCACTAAGTAGATGAAAAAGTACACATCTTTAAAAATCACATAGAGAAGAAATAGTAAGGGTAACGGTTGGTAATAGGCCAAAACACATCTTAGGATGTGTGCAGACTATGGTCGTACTATAGCGAAGGCATTCACTGATTTAAATCAATATCAACACATCAGCCACCAATTCCCAGAAAAATGAAGTAAGCAAACGGTTGAAAAGGTGAAGTAGGAGATATACTGACGTCAAAAGTGTTAAACCAATTCTAAATGACTATATACAGAAGCACCACACGAAGCCTAGTGCAGAGATATCAAACACTGGATTTCCGTCATACAGTTGCAAGTTCCAAAATATCAACAGAAAACTTACTGAAAAATAGGCATTATCAGTTGTCCAAATGCAATCGGCTATTGACGAAAAGGGCAGAGGCAAAACGACACGATCCGAATAAATATCGCCAGTTACTGCAGGACGGATGACACCAAATAAGACGTCGCAAACAGCTACAGGTTCATCATTATCACATGCTGAGCCAATAAGGCTAGGCTTTAGCTCCAAGTACCTAAGAAGCTAAAATGGCATAATAAGAATGATGAAGCACGAGAAAATAAAAAGCGACGCAAATAAATGCCAATGATTTGTATTCAACTACTACATAAACTCTAAAGCTGAGTGGTTCTGACACAGCGAAAAATAACATCAACTGCGCATTTCAAGACACTAAACCATTGAAGAATGTAGATTTCTTTCTTTAGAAATTACCACGATCCGAAAATACCCAATAAGGAACAATTGTAAATCGCAAAACTAGTAAAAAATTTTTACTGACTAAGAATCTCAATGAGTCGAGAGTGGATAAAGGTGAAAGTTAAACAACTCACGCGATAACTGATCGAGTCGATGTGCATGTACTCCGATGTCGAGGAAGAAGCAACAACCCCGACGGCGCTATCCAAGGCAAAACTGGAATTTTGAATTGAAAGCTTCACCGAGACGCCAGGAACATTTTTGTTTGAGGTAATGCCTGAGATTGATTCCAATGACTTCGATTCAAGGTTGGTAACGATAGTTGTATCTAGCTGAGCAGCGAAAGGGTCACAGGACAATGTTTTTTGAAAGGCTAGTACTTCCGGGATACATTTTCCGAGTCTAATCTGTTGGTTAATACTGCTCTGCAGTTCAACGCAATCCGCAGGTGACCATGCAAAAAACGTTGACCTTGCAAATAAAGTAGTTTGCGAATCCACAGTGGCGAACGCTGTGACATTATAATCACAAGTTACACGAAGCGCACCAACTCTAGTTGATGAAGTAATTAAACACACACTACCTACAAGTTCAAAAAAATAAGAAACTTACTAGAAGCAGAAGAATGTAGAGGCAACGCGAAAGGAAAGGCATAGTAGCCCACGTAGTTAGAATCTAAACAACTGCAAGATACAACCAACAAACCTTTAAACCTAAAAATTTCGATTGGTGTTTGGTCAAAACATTGTCGAGTTCCCGTGCCCTGAAAGTAGCCTTTAAAAAATTGTGAGAAACGGGAGCGCCTCACACTTTAATTCGCATTTAATTTGAACTGAGATAGCATCTATGTTTGTAGGCTTAATATGGCGGTAAAAAACAGCACTGAAAAATCGATAAAAAAAGTAGTTTACCCATATATTACATCCCCAGGGCTATATAACTTCCGGCTTAAAGCCACCACAATTCCATTCATAGACACAGATAGAAAGCATAGTAATTAAACGGTGGAGAACTAATCACGTTACACTTTTGCCTTGTGTAAAGCGACAAGGTCAAACCCTAATATTCGACACTAGGAACCAACCTGCTTAACGACAAAATTTTTAGTTTAGTTTTGCAGTATTCTTGAAATATCGAAATATTAGAGATTTGGTAATCTGCCCATGAATTGTCGAATGCTTTTCCAATATAAGTAACCATTTGTAAAAGAGCAAACGTTCAAGGAAGGCTAAATCCAAATTCCAAATGCTTACGTAAAGACGAACTTATAAGTAATATTAATAAACCCTTTTTGAATTTTCGCATTGCGCAACATTGTTAAATCACGTTGTTTAGACATTAAAAAGCATTCAATTATCAACCTATCGTTGTAAAAAAATTGATAGTGATGGTTATTGCACGTTTTACGAAACAACACTTAGACGGTTTTTTAATTCATGCATTATTTGGACTTAAGTTTACATCTATAATTACTAATGAATGCAAAGGAATGCTAAAAGTACATGTGAACTAAAACAGTTCGATACTTTTCTGGGTTTATGTAGATTTATCTTTCAGGAGCATCCCAAATTTTTCTGCTTTTAATATCGTTAAGCCTGTAATTTTATATTTGGCTTGCATTTATAATTGTATAGCTGTTCAACGTAACTAAGACATCATTCATATTGAAACGCTGAGAAGATGCATCGAATTTACATGATTTTAAACCGTAAACAAATTCCGTATGTTGACTTTATATTACTACAATTTTAACGTAGTACTAATGTAAATTTAGATCAAGACAGCCACAGTTATTAAAGTTATGTGATCATATTCATGCGGAAATCATTGATTCAAAAGGAAACCTTGAGATTTAGAGCCCATTGAAAAAGTCGGTTACAAAATTAAGTTGAATAAAGCCAATTTCGGTAAATTGCAGTGTAATTGCCTTTTCAATAAGGTATCCAAATTGCCTTTTTGAACAAATAGATGCTTTTAACTACCGATAAATAAGAAACGATTTCTCAATTAATGATGCGTCAATCGATAGAAACTATCTGCTTTTTATTACAATCAATGGTCAGTCAGGTCCACTCATCCTTTTCTAACCCCGATTTCATGCATTAGATTAAATTCGCTTAAGATAATATTGATTTTCTTAGCTAAAGTCGATTTATCACCTATGAATTAAGTGAGCTTTTAAGTTCCTTTTGATCACATAATTTCTGGATAATAGGAGAAATTGCTAATAAAATTGCCCTATTCTCTCACTTTGATTTTTGCCATTTAAAGTTAACCAATTTTTTGTTTTTTTGCTTTGTCAGTTTGTTTGCGAGCTGTAACACAATAGTTGTCAGTTCAAAGGGCTAAGTTAATGGAACAAATTTGGTTAGATTAATCTTTTAATAATTTGTACACTCGCTGTCCATTACAACTGCCAATATATCTTACAAATTCAAAAAAATGTTGTAAATTTAACAGGTTGTGAACAATTTAATTATGCTAAATAAAAAAAATTCAATTGGGATCAAAATTTAAATATGGAATAAGAATATGACAAGTTAAATTAACGTAGGCGAATTATTCAAAAATCTTCGCAGAAATTTGATATTGCGTTACTATGTGGCTGAAAGTGTATAACTAAACGGATACATTTATGTACTTAGATTTAAATTTTCGGAAACCATAACTTGTCACGGTGGCGGACTATTGCAAAGTTTCATTTGGTGCAATAAATCGCTATTTACAGAAGCATCCCAAAAAAGCTGGTCTTACACTTTTGTAGCAAATGTTGAATTTTGCTTTGATTGTCACTGAATTTTATCTTCGGATTTTATCAACAATTCATGAATTTGTCTATAGTTTAAGGCAACGACGAAAAATACGTAAAGTAGAACAGATTACTAGATGTAATTGAAGAGAACTAGTAAAAAATCAACGTTCGCGAATTAGCAGAAGGGTGGGATGAGAAATCTAATTTTGACATCAATGGTTACATCACGACTGCTGGAAAACTACGCAAAGTCCAAAAATGCATGTCGTACTTGCAACAACCGTGGAATCTGTCCGGAATATTAAGTTAGTCTTGTGCAAGATCGAAGACTTGATGTGGCTTTTTCAAATAACTGCTGTTCTATTAAGAATGCTGGCTAGCAGCTATATACTAAATAAAAAGATTTGTCAATCGCCATTAGTAAGAAAGGATGTTTTTCGCTTATTAGTATTCAGGGTGTATGATTTTGCGGATCAATATATGCTGCTATACAAAAGTTATAGTTCCGAGTAAATAAACCAAAACGTAAATTCTGCCTGTTTAATTGCTAAAATAGAAAGAAAATCTTTGGGTGACAAACCACCCGCAATTTGCTTCTGCCAGGCTTAACTCAACATTAACCTTCCAAATTTTTGTTAAATTTAATATAAGTCAATCGTTTGACAACCACTTAATACACGGTTGATTAATATTAACATGTAAATATAGCCGAAATATGTCATTATCCAAATCCACTCGAATGCAACGATTTACTTGACTGGCGATGAGGGGGTTGTCACCTCGTATGGTAATATGTCAGTAGATGTGGGAACGTTATATACAAATGAAATTCAGATCACCCAAAGAAATGCACCGAGAAATTAATTGAAATCACATAACCGAACTCTAATACGTCTACCTTCAGCTAAAAAGAACATTCGAAAATCATTTTAAGTGCCTCTCAGTTTAGCAGGTTGATCGTCAATTCGTCCACTAAATGGTCGAGGCTGGAATTTTTACGGTAGCGGTAAACGACAAAATTATTAAGCAAAAAAGAGGCATAAAATAGCCTGAAACTTTCGATTATAAGTTAACATCACCAGTCAGTATCTCCAGTTGAGTTAGAGTCGAGTAATCACAGTAAATTTAATTAGAATGAGGGCTAATGTATTCCAGAAGTGAATGAATAATAGCTAAAAAATTAATAGAGTGTTGGCTGATACACTAAAATTAGATAAAAATTCATCTGTTGAACGTTGATTTTCTTATGCTAACTTATAATGTTAGGTGTCCAGTAGATACCCCGATAAAATTAAATCGATTGTCGTTAACCTTAACTCAAGTTATTTTAGACAGTGTAAAACGGTGAATTTTTGCGTACTGCGAATGAGGAGTTCTTCAAGAGGTCTATATTTATTTCCATCATCATACAAATTCGGACTGTCCCTTGATTGTAATTTTTATGCCAAAGCTCTCAAGATAAAACCCAAGTTTTTGAAAGTGTGGTCGAAACATTACAGTGGAACTCATAGTTGACCTGATAGCTAGTAATCAAAAATCCCACGATTAGATCATGTTTTCTACCATCGCACCCCCATCAATTTGGTCAATAGTTTTCTTTTTAAAATAATACCAATCCCTAGTGTGATGTGCAACATAAACTGAGTTTCTCGTTGAGTGGTACTAAAAAAACTACCGACAAATTGAAAAGAATCACAAATGCACAATTTAAATGAACCACATTTATTGGTAAAATGGTTATGACCACCAACAAACGCAATATCAAAATAGACGTATTATGTAAGATCAGAAAAATATGTTCTAATTAAATCGGAGTGACTAGCTAGGGATTTATTTTGGTTTGTGCTCACATGCGAACTGACACGACCCTACTTTACTCGCCCAGCCCGAAAAAAATTGAACTGGCTTAAAGGAGATTACGGAAAAGGGGTTAGTGATTCGCAGCTTTGGCCAAAGATGATGTATCTGTACGTTGCGTGACTTTACTCTGCTGCTGTCGAAAATGTAATGCCACAGCTTTCATAAGTGAAGCTGGTAACAGGCGGCAAAATAGTTTAAATTCACTGAAAAACGTGGTGCTCTTGGCAAGATTCGGCGTGAGGAAGTCGCTTAGCATCATGCTGCAAAGTTGCAGGGTACTTTAATGAAGTTGTACTGAAGAAGCGTTATCAAACTCTAATATACTAATTTTCGATGTTTTATATGTGGTTAATATTGTGATGAATAAGAAAAACTCGTTTTTTCAAAAAAATGTCAAATGAGGCGATAAATGACGCAAACATGAAGCTAGGAAAAAACATGGCATAATGTTGTTAGAGAAGTAAATTACACATCAACTTGCAGCCCTTAGACATGTGACAAAAGGAGAAATTTAAGTAACAGAAAAGTTGCACACAGTTCAATTATCTAAGTTAGTGTGCGTTTGGGTTAGTAGCTGTTGCTATAAACTAACTGCAAATCACATTACCCAGCATGATGTAACCGTGACTGAGCTCTATGCAGTAAACAACGGACTAAATTTCGCCCACGACACCACTATATTTTCTTCAAAGTTGACATAAAGCTTTATTGTGAAAGGAATTTGGTTCACACAGAATTTGTAAAGTTGTGTTTTTTGACTGGCGACTGCTTAATTGTAAGAAAAATAGTTTACACTGCTGCACTCATTATAACCGACTGTGACTTAAATTAAGTGGCAGCCTACTAGCAACATTCAACGCAAAAATTAGCAACTGAGTATGGTTTACTCAGATATCCGCCAAAATGCCATATTTGTGTAGCGTTTTGTATTGAAAAAAACACCAACCAAGAGACAAAAATACAACAAAGTGATTTCCTTTAGTCGCAACTTAAAAATTAAATACATTCACGTAAAATCAGGTTATGAAATTAGACATTGACACAGAGGTGACCAAACCAATCCTTCGAGTGGGACCTCATGTTTACAGGTCAGGTATTTTACGGTCAAACACATTTAGCACACTTGTTTTATTTTTCGAAAAGACGGAAAACTTTAGCCGTCTCTAGAAAGTTTAACTGATGTACACGAAGTTACACAACTCATTTAAAATCATTTTCATTTCATTCTTTTTCTGCTATTTCAACTAATTCTTGAAATATATAGAAATTACCATGAATCCGAAATGAATGTGTTATAAAAATAATGTAAAGAAACCTTTTAATGGGTCATCAGCTGATCTATCGTCTGCACAGTAATCGGGAAGATTAAAGTATTGTTAGTCCTGCCTACCCCTTCGTTTAACGATTTTGGTTATTGTTGCAGCACTACGCAAATTTTCTCACTGCGCAACCGGTGCTTAAAAACGCCATAGTACGAGACTTTGTAACCAATAATTATGAATTAGATGATTGCAAATTGGACTCCAAGTTAATTGATGGAATTGGACAGAGTCCAATGTTTTAAACATGTAAAAAAGACAAATGCATTTAATAAAAATTTGGCAAGGATGCGAAATAATCCGTTATACGTAGAAAATGGGGTGACCAAAAGAATGGATAGCACTAAGGACTTAGGCCGTATTGTACGGGAATGGATAAAAAGCAAGGACTAACTTCATGACAGTGTATGAAATCGTAAGGTTAGTAGTGTTTAGATTGCCGTGGAAGAGAGGAACAATGTTTTTGAACGACTGTTTGAACTCGCATATACTTAGTAAGAGAAAATTCTCCACGCCCATTATTTTTAAAGCACATCAGTCGTGTCCGTTGCAACACCATTTGGTCATTTATCAATGAACGTTTTGTGACAAGAGAGGACTAGTTCTATTAATTTGAGTAGAAATATTTATTATTTAACATTAATTCCTTCTTTTCACCAATTGGAGGTTTTCTGGCCAATGGGAATGGCCTTGTAACTCATTGCTCAAACATACCTAACACCAGCTTGACCTTTTTACATAGCGCTTGGGAGTTCAATCACAATATGACAACTTCGCATAAGTGGATTTTTATCGTTATATTATTCTCAGTTAGCGGTATGTTTAAAGAATTTCGGTTATGAGAATGTGAAATGCAAACCTATACATAGTAAACACGTTTCAAGTGACATTTTATTTCTAAGGAGCTTTTTCATGAGTAAAGTGGTGTTTTAAAATTTTTACTGGTGTTTTAATCCAGTCAAAATATGCCTCAAAACCCACTTTTATCTTGCAATTTTTGCCACTAACATATTTGCTGTCCAATAGACAACATCTCCTTAACCAGGCTTAAAATTAAAGGTCAAATTATGACGTTAGTAGATACAAATATTTCGTCTTTTTCGGCAGTTTGTGCTGTATACCCTTGTTAGACCCTCGCATTAAGCACTCTTACACCATCGTCGTCGAATACTTCAGTTGAAAAAAAAACAAAACTCAAAACGATTAAACACTGCATTAATTTCTTGCTGAGACTGCGAGAGCTGACAACTGGGGTGCAAAGTTTAGGATGCCTCTAGCTGTCCTCCTTCTACTAAACTAGAGCGTTCGTTTTTTCCCAAACATGGTGCCTGGATACAATTCATCTTTCAGTGCCTCTCATTAGCCCATTTTAAGGTCAATCTTAAGTAAATTTGAAATAATACAGATAAATGTGCGATAAGGAACTAGTTTTGTGGAGTTATTTTGTCATTTTACTATCCACGAAACGATAATACTAGTTGCATTTATGTGGACCTGTTAAAAACTCTAGAATACCTTGATCAATGTAGTTAGGTTCAGTAGTTAAATAGCGAACTCCACCTCAAAACATTTACGTTGGCTGGTAAAACAGTGCTGTCTTCATCAATTCGTTCAACTGAGGTATCTAATTAGAGTTCGGCAATTAATATTATTTCGCATACTTGCATTTCTAAGTTGTATTCTCATTGCTTTGTATTGCAGGATTGATGGGCATATCAAACTACGAAAAAACGCATAACGCGATCAATGGCTCACGAGTGGAGCTGCCATGTGATTTGGAGGTTTCTTTCACGAAAGCAGTGCGTACACGCTTCTGTTTGACAAACCTGCTTTTAAAGCCTGGATATAAATAATAACCAGATCATGTCAAATAAACAGCCATTATATATCCTAGCTGTCTATATTGTAAAATCGAGGGAAATTTTCTAAAGATTTCAGACTAACAATTTTTTCATGCCTGTAGAAATTGCCTTTTCTAAGGTTGAACACTGTTTTACCACCATTTATGTGCAGAGGTCAAGTATTTTCAGTGTCTAGGAAAAACCGGTGACCACATACGACACACAAGCAGGAGGTTTCCAACGTAATCCAATAAAAAATGAAAAAAAGTAAATTATTTCTCTGAAATACGTTTTCCTGAATGATTTAATTTTGTAGAAGAATTTTTTCATTTTTTTAATCAAGGTGTTAATGACATCGCAAATGCAAAGCTTGGACATAATTTTTTGTCAGTCTTTTAGAATACCCATTGAAAATTAATTTAAAATGGTGTCTAGTGTATTGTGAGCGTACTTCCTTTGCTAGCATAAAGACAGTAAATCCTAAAGACATAAGGGAGCAACGTTTCAGAAGCAAAATTTGTTCAGTGGCATTTCGATTTATTATTTTTTACTAAGAGGTTTATTTGTAAAGGCCCAACTTTTCCCCAACCTTGACTACCACAAAGCTATAAATAGACAGCTCAATGTTTCGCATACTTTGATCAGTTTCTACCTGTGGATTTCGACATGCACCAGGTCCATTTAAAAGAAGTTAAGTCCCCGGATGCTCTGACTTCAGGGTCTACCTGAGCTTAAATTTTGGTTTTATTTTCTCAAGTGTAAATACCTTTGGGCAAAGGCATAAACGCTTATATGGAATGAAATGATAATGGCCTTCCATATTAGTGTGTTATAATGTGGGGCATTTACATAGGCCATGCGCTGCTTTATACAATTTTATTCTCATGAAAGAGAAAAAAACAAGTTTTAACATATATTTGTATTTTGCCAAATGTTCATACATTCAAGTTAATTGTGACACTTAAAAAATTGAGAATCAATCGGCTAAGAAAGCTTCTTACACAGTTGATAAAGCGATAGTAAAGACAATAAAATAACTAAAAGTGTGGAATCTTTAGTCATTGTGATTCACTCTTTCCTCCAGCACTTCGATTTATTTTAATAGGTAGTTCCCACTTGTAACCTCGACTAGCAATCACAACTTTTCATCACTTTAAAAAACGAGGGCACTTAGTTTTTGTCTTGGAAGTGCCGAAGAAAACCATCACGCAATCTTGTACGACGCCAGGATGAAAATAAATTTTGCACCGATTTTAAAGGGGGCAGTGAAAATGTGACTAACCACGGTTAAGTTGTAGCTTTGATTACAGTAAAATAAAAGTTAGCAATTAAAGTAGTAATTAAGTTTGTGCCCTAAGAATAAAATTAAGAAGAAACTCTAATCACCTCTAACCCTCTCATGACCCTTGCTCTCCAACCACCTCAACACAAGCCAATTATATGCAGGCTACGCATCTGATTCCACAAAATTTGGTTAAACAACAATGATGCTTGTGTTCTTCCGATAATTGTAATGGTTATTTACATCAGGTTATAGCACACAACTTTTAATCTTGTCCTATCATTGGTAATGTTTTATTCACATTAGAAATGAAAAAGTGCTGAATCCTACATTTTTCTCTGCATTAAATAATGAAGTGTTAAAAGTCACATAGATGCGAAATATATTTAAGGTCCAAAGTCTGACTATGGATTAGGATTGTGCTTCCGATTTAAGGAATTATGAGTGAAAATAACACAGCAATCTTAAAATGATATTACACAGTTGCACCAATGATCGGCTTTATGCCAGGTACAGTCACTTCTAGAAATTGCATAATAAGACGACAAATTTACACATACTTTGAAATCAAATTAGCTCTTTTTAATGTATCAGGAATTCTAATTTTTTTTAATTCGTATCCCTAACTTTTTTGCATCATGAAGCAGTCTGCCGACTGACTACGAAGATCCTAATAATTTATTGACAGCTCAGATGTCAAAATGTGTTGATATTTAACAGAGGATATAAACTTCAGCCTACATTCACCTTTTTTCAATTTATTTTGAAGTCTTGTCCAATGTGCAAAAAAGTCAGAAAATAACATGTGTACAGGTCATTTAAAAGGCAAACATTGTTATTCAACTTCTACAAAATTTATGTCATAGTTTTTGGGGACCATGAGAAGGCAAACAATGTATTTGAACTTTGACTCGCTGTTGGTGTGTTTGAAGGAATGATGTAAAGGGGATGTATTTGATTTGCATAGGAACTGGATGAAATGACTTGGATTAAGGGACCGCGGCAGCTTATTTCGTTCGGCATGTTCAAAATAACCCAAGAGGAGAGAATTTCAATAGTTCCACCGGTATGCCTTTTCCATAGTCCTTAAAGGTTTCTTTTATTTTTAAATAAATTTCCATTTGCCCTCGGGTTTGAACTGGTGTCTGAGTGCTTTGCAGGCGGATGCGAAGCTATTCAAAATGCCCGATGGTGGCCAGAATGTGTAGGTCCCGGCATATGGTCTTGTACCACGCCGGGGCTGTTGAGTAGAATTTGGCCCGTTAACGCTACACAAATACCCGAGAAGGCAATTAGAAGACCAGGGACACGGCCGTGTGCTAGACAGATCAACCAAGTCATGTTGCACTGGTGTATGCCTAATGTACTTATTAATTAAAATTGTGGGTGAAATAGTTAGCGTCCGAATAGCTGTGTGGTCAGAAGAGTTTAACTAACAGCCGAGAGGGTACACGCACCGAAATGTGAGAGGGCTTGGCTAAAATACGGGGTAGTGTGTCGCAGACTACAACAACCGGATTAATAGACATTAATCGATGCGATTCACCACAGCTCTTTTTCTTAACGAAAGAAATAGGCGAACTGTTTCTTCCAGCAAGATTTCTGGAAGGTAGGCTGTAAATTTAAAGCTTCCGTAATGGCGGAACACTAGAACGAATGAGCAAAGCGAATTTTTATCGCCAGATTGTGGCTAACGCGCCTGAAGCCATTCTGCGATGTTGGAAGACGTTTGGGATATCTGGGGATTGACGGTAAGGCAGGTGGCGCGTGATACCTGAGCGCTGCCGCGAGATAATTGAGTCATTTCAACCTGGCTGAAAATCACATCAGAGATGGAATGCAAATATTTGCTAGGCAAGCTTCCAAAGTGGAGGGCGTTGAGAGTCGAGAGGTGCAGTCAGGTTGAGAAAAGTGAGCGTCGGGTGATGAGGCTAGGCTGATTGATCAACGGTAGGAGGTGCTAGGGGTTGATGTTCATCGTCTAGAGATTAAGCAGGGTTCGGAGATTTGGCGTTTTCCGGGGAGTAGGGGGAGTCCGGCGAATAGGAATGTGTCGGGCATAAGACGTCGTCGGGAGGTGATTGGTGCCAGAGGTAAACCTGGTTGAGCTGGGAAGAGTTTGGCAATTATGCCAGATTGATTCTGGTGAATTTAGAGAGTAAAAGCTAGATTGAGCGAAGGGAGGGAATCGGGACCTAGAGTCGGACTTGGTTTAATGGCTGAAGGGGTGACTTTTCTATTAGGACGTGATACCAAAAATCACCACGTCATTTAAGTCTTGCCGAAAAATCGCCAATTGCCAAGTCGTAGAAAGTCAATAAGCGTTCACAGTGGGAGTCACTAGTTATTGTTGTTATTGTAGGTAGTTTGTCACAAACTGCAGAAACCCGATCAACGGACGTTATGCAATACAAAGCACCAAATATTGTTCGAAGTGGAGAGAATGTAGGGACCTTGGGACTACGGTCAAGTGAATCGGCTTACAAAAAGCAAACTGCTAAACCTTTTCGCTAAAATGGGAATAAAATTTGATATAATAACGAATAACATTTCAACGACACCAAATCATGAAGTAGACTAACTGATTGCACTCCCCCTGCTTGACTTGGACATGCATCTTTACAATACTCTGTGCTAATTTTACCAATACTAACACGACTTAATAAACTCAGTCCAAATTTCATTCAAGTGGATGAATCTCAATTATTCTATTAAGATGATTTATCCACGTAGATTTATAATCATTTTGCAAAACAAGGACTTGGGATTTACCATTACCTTTGGTGTAATGTAATAGCTGTTGAGGAGTTTTACCTAAAAAATATTCCTCTGCACACTGAAAACACGTTTCGGCACCATCGATGAACGACAATGCTTTTCATTTAATTCTTGGCCACGTTTTATTTGCCATACAAAATTGGTAACTTTTGTACTTTCCTACGCTTGGAAAATGCAGAAGACATCATTAAAGGCATTTTGATATCCTCAAAGTTTCATTTTTCCAAACTTGACAAACAGTCAAATCCATGTGCTTATGCTAAAACGGTTTTGGAAGGGCACAAATAAATGTATAAAACAATGTTATTAATCCGATGAGCGAGGATACTTTTGATGCTACCTTCGAATCCTATCTATCGTTTGCGTACGCAGTACATGAGAACTGAGACGACGATACAAGACGTCCTGACGGGTTGGACAAAGATGTTTAGTTACCCACTAAGCATGGTGTTAGATGTTAGGTCTGTTGTAACAGGGTTGAGAAATGTGGTCTACTGATATTTCGGGTCTCTACATCTTAAGGCCGTGCACATACAGGCCAATACACAGATGAGTAAAAGTTCACATGGGCGGTATATTATCCTCCCACCAATTTATTTTAAGAAGGATGAAAGGATAGAGGTTGAACAGGGTTCAGAGTGATCAGCACGGGAAGTACTTAAACGTCTTTTAGTCCTTCTAAAGGTTGTGTGTAGGATTAGGACAGCATTAGGCTAATGTTACGTCTTTTTCGCTTTTAGACACTTTTAAAAAAACGTGCTTTTAATCTTCTCTTCTCCCCGGTTACAACAATGGACAGTGGTGTGTATCGCTGTTCGATTGTGGTGCAGGGAGAAACGCATCTGAAAACGTATAGGCTAAATATACTAGGTAAGCTTGTTGTTGTTAGTGGTTTAATCAATGAAACTTTCTTCCATATCTCCTTTTGGTGGGTCCTGGTGCCGCAGGATTTCATATCGCTCTTGAGATCCCATAACATTGCTGAAGTCTAACTAAACGCATTTAAAATCAGGCCCACCCTTGAGTCTAAAACTGCAGCAATATTTTGGGGTTAAGTTCTCTTTCATGTGGCTTGTAAACACGATTAAACCGCCTGGTCAATTTTAGCGCCTCGTTTAACCAAAGATAAGACGCGTGGCATTGTAGTGCATTATTAAACGATCGTTTAATTTAGGTCTTTTTGACCGCCGAAATTCACAGATGGACAGATTTTTGCACTCTATTCTTAATAAAATAGTCGTTGCTTTTTCTTCCTTGAAGAAACCTCGAATTCAATCTGATGACCTTTGATATTTGATTGGATGCAGAATCTACGAGTGCGCAATTTTAATAACAAATATACATCAATGCATGCCTTTGGTTTTTAACTTGAATAACCACATATTTTAAGGATTATTTTGCAGAAATTTCTGTCGATTTCAGTTTATTGCGAAGATTTGAAAATAAATCACCCAAATCGAGTCCAGCGTTCAACTTACTATTTCCAACATCTGAGGTGTAGTAAAAGATTTATTGCACAATGGATATAAATAACAGTTTACATTGATAAAGTTGAGGATTTTGTGTTGTTTGCCCGTAACCAAGAAAAGTACACTCAGATAGAAGGTACCAGATAACTTGTCTGACGCTAGAACCGGATTAACACGGATGTTAGGGAATTAGTGTAAATAATGACAAAATAACCGGCGATGAGCCCACTTGGGGAATCCTGGATCCCCAACATTTTGCCAAATGATATACTGCTAAAACATGATGCAATTTGTAGAACCCAAATTAAGAGTGAGAAGATGAGAACGACTTAATTACTAAGTGATGAAAGATTAATATATAATAATAATGGGTGCTGGAATCCTTGATTACAAGGCGGCAAATAGGATACTAAACGAGAACTTGGTTAAAATTCAATGTAAAAGTCAACCATACCCCAAGACGAAATGCACGTTTCCTTCAAGACTGATTCAAATGTTTGAGCAACCCAACGTAGTATGGGTATTTCCAAAAAAATTCATTATTATAAAAAAAATTAGCACATGCGCTAGTTCTGCGTTGACCCGTAACTCAAATGCCACCTGTCACCCACGCACGCTTTGAAATTTTCAATTTTAGTTCCACCGAAAATAACAAAGGCTCCAGCCCCTACACTTAAGGTGGTTGAGGGGGATGGCTTACAGGTATCATGCTCCGCAGAGGGAAATCCGACTCCTGTGGTCTCGTGGATGATGAAACTTGCTAAAGGAGGCATCCGGATTGTACCAGCGCATTTCGATACAGACGGATTTGAATATGCCCGCGATGTTCTCAAAGGGCTGGGTGCAAGTATGAGACGATTTTTACCTTTGGCACTGATAATTCCACCAATGTCTTCTTATGGTGCAAATTATATGGCTCAAAAACATGTTTGCACGAGCCATGTGGCTGATAGTGACGTGTAGAGATGCATCTCTGCTTTGAGGCTAGAATATCTTCCTGGGCTTTCTTAATTATTCGTTCGTTCGGCAATTTCGTAAAGGACTTGATTTTAATTAATTATCCGACCGTTTAAAACGGCATAGTCATCGACGATTTCATCGTTACATACTACTTAGACGCTATGATGATTTTTTAAAAATTAAATAAAAACCTGCCCGTCACCATAAACTTAAATAAAAAAAAATTACTGAATCGTATGTGAGAACAAATAAATTGAATTATGTGCTTTGTTGTTATCGCCCATGATTCTTGAAACATTACTCAACTTCGTTGGAAGAACAGGCCTTTTGGTATTATTGTAGTCAGGAAGAAGTAGCTGATTGCGTTACTGTTTAGGTTTGCCGGTGCGTAGATGCAACGCCGCCAGTGCAAATAGTTAAATCTCATGTCAAACACGTCAGGGTCTTTAACATTACAAGTACGGAGACAAGGTGCGAATGAGACACTGCCTTTCCAAACTAGAACAATACCAGACCTCGCGCAAAAATCTCTTTACCGTCTCAGCCTAAGGCCCACAAAATGTTCACATGCGCCCAAAGAAATGGCCTTGAGTGCAATTACGATGGGTGATACATAAGGATGAATGGGCGAATAGGAAGAGGACGGTAGTTATGAACAAAAAATGGAAACAGAAAATTATCAACTTTCTATAAACTATAGTGCTGGGAATGCTGGAATCCCATCAGTTACACCTTGACGAAATGCATGAATAACTTGAGGGTCTTTACAGTATGCTTATACACACATTTTTTTCAGCATTCGTTGAAATGAATGGCTACTTACAAATTTCACAAATCAACCGACAGATGAGTGGAACCTTGGTTTGTCAAGCCGTTAATGGAATAGAGCCAAAAGCGATACGTAAAAGCAAGCTTGATATTCGATGTAAGTTTGAAAAATCCAAATAGATTTGAAAGGGCAAATATTATTGTGCAAACAATCCATTATAGTACTTCTGTTGCAGAATTCGACCAATGCAGTCGACGGGTCGTGAATCTAGAATAAGTACAAAACTTAGTATGAGTGATATGATTCCATTTAATGACTGACAGTCATATTACCTTATTGGCTTAGTGCTATATTCGTGTTCTCGGATATTTAGACAATGGAGATAGGGATTTCCTATTAAAATTTGGGCACCTTTTGGCTTTCTTAAGTGAATTAATACCATTAAATATTTTGATATTAACATGGTTTACTGTGAGAGAATATCACAAAATTTCATGAAACTAGTAAATAAGGTATATTTAGCCTTTTTAGAAATCAAAGGCCATTAACCTCGATCTGGAAGTTCTTAAAATAAACGTAAATAGAGAGGAGTTTCATAGTTTTGTGTCGACTTGGATTAAAAGACAAGTTACTTTCCAATTTCTTAGTTACCCCTGAGGTAAACGTTGTAAATTCTCTGATAAAGCAATCCCTCGGAGGTGACACGGTTCTTCAATGTCTTGTAAATGCAAACCCAATCGGAAACGTCGTTTGGACATTTGGAAAAGCCATGATTCCGATCAACGCACCGTCCTGCAGTGTTCCAACAAGTAAAACTGTTAAGTACTGCACTGGTAGGTCGGAAGTCTAAAGTACTGCGTTTAAGACTAGATTTTATAAGAAATTTAACTAAATGGTTTACTTTAGTTGAATTACGTCGAAAAAACGAGGAAAGATGGTCGTCCATTGTGTCGAAACTACATATTCTGAAGCTCACAGAACAAGATTTTGGGGAATACACATGTGGAATGGCAACAATGATGGGAAGACATGCAGCAAGTACAAAATTGGAGAGTAAGTCTCAGTTTGACTTCGATCTGAGGATAGCATTGCGCGCCGAAGGAATTATTTAGCGCAAAATAAATGGTTCTTTATTGAAATAATCATGACCATTGTACATTAAGATGTATGCTTATTAAGGCGTCAGACTTTGCTTTTTGCGAAACGTCAATTAAATCTTAGATTTTACACGGTATTTTTTAAGAAATACTCGAAACAAACAGGCGCGGATAGCATCGCACATCATTTAACGATCCTCTAATTAGAGCATAACGATTATGCGCACAGGCATTGTTTTGCGCAAAATGTATCTCTGGAAATAGCTAGATGACCCTACATCAGTAATTGATGCACAGTCGTAAATGTAAATCGCATACTCTTCTATTGCCTAGGATACGTTTCGGAATCTGAGTACCCCATGAAATTACTCAACGACCGTAAGTTATGATTATGTACGAAGTTATTGGTACTTATTTTGAAGAGCATTTTTTTATTTTCTTAATGAATCCACAAGGCATTTTGCGCTTCGACATCATTTACTGACGCTCCGAAGGACAAAACGAGCGTTATAGCTATGACTGGCGATTGATCAAGCCTCCCAAGAAACTCCCTGTTAGAATGAATAAACTATTGCACAACCGAAATCGCCCGTCTGTGCTATTTTCACAATGCTACGAAATAGTGCCAAGACGAAATATAACGGCCTAAAAGCATTAACCCACGCAGAGTTTGCACAGAACAACTCCCCAACAATATAACTCGATAGCTACAACTCATATAGTCTAGTCTACCTCCAGCTCGCTTTGAAACGTCTCTGCCAGACATCGTAGGCAAAACTCGTCGGTGAGAGCTCGTCACACGCCTCACCAATAGACCACACGAGCGAGTGAACACAGACCACATAATTGTTGTGTTTGTTTCCAGCCTTCTTCAACATGCCACTGCAAGCAACCACAGAAACCTCTACCGCAGCTTCAACGATGCTTCATCTGAAAAGGAACAGACTTAAGGACATGCAGTATGGCCCACCTCACTTTCGAGAAACAAGGCTGCCGGTTTCAAGCAGAAGACTACGTAATGTTTTACTGCAGGATTTTGTAGGGGGGTTTTAGGGTTTTAGGCGCGACTTTATTCACACACAATCAAACTTCCTTTGTGAAACCCAACGCTTTAAATAAATGCACTCCTAAGGAGAGGCCTACACGGCGACCTGATTTAACTTGGATCGCTTGCATGTACATCAAAGGCATTAGCTGCACATATCGCAGTTAATAATCCGACCTAGGAACACATGCACTCATGTCATCTGGGGGTTGATAACCATGACTACCAAGACATACATAATATGAACTTGGAAAACAATGATCTGCTTGTTACTAATAGCGTTTGCAAAATACGATCCTATCAGCATTTTTTTGGAAATGAAAGAGCTGCTTGGTGGACATGTGTTCCCCTAACACTTAACGTTTCGCTATTTACTTGGCCCCTGAACAAGAACTAACAGGACATTACCACGAAGATACGAGGAGTCACAAGTTTGACCCATTGCTAAAACCGAAAGCCTCCTCGTGATCATCAGTCCCGCTTGCACACGCACAACGCAAAGACTAAAGGGGCGATCGGAGAACGCGGTCAATCGTTCCCACTATTGTGATGGGTAAATCACTGAGGTGCTATAACTATGAATGTGTGAGATTAGGAAACTATAATTAAGAATTGTCATGACTTTAGAGAACATGCATTCACTCAAAATATAATTTTAATGTTTGAGTCGCGGATTTATTAAGTAAAGTGACAAAATTTCAAACACCAAAAATTATTTGAGCTATCCGTATTGAAGTAACCTCGGATGGGCTAGTCCATATATAGGCACAAGCCAATATTCGATTGCGAACCTAAGACTTGGCAATGCGATATTGACATTGTGCACTATCGAATCATCTAAACCTGTTCATTTGATGTTCCCAAACTGTCACTTTCCTCCCTTCAGGTCCAGAGACAACCTCGCCCGCTACACAGACAAGGCCCCTGGCCATAGTTACACTGTTCGGAACCGTCTACTACGTACACAGCACTCCTGAAATGTGAATACTTAATTAACTGAAATCATGTGGTCGTAAAAAACATTTCTGAAGTAGAAGAATGTGTGTGAATAAAGAAAAAAGATATTAGTAGTCATTTATACAATTTATAATTGTAGCGTTTTACCATTATCACTACTTGCTTCGAGCTAAGAATAAAGGGTGGCTAAACCAAACACAGTGCCGATACACTTATAATCATTACTAATTAGGATTGTTTACATATAAGAAATAAAATGCATTAGAAAAACTTTGTACTTGATTAATTGCAGTAGTGAGAGAATCTCGTTTGTGCACGTTAGGCCATGGTCGCGAATAAAAGCTGAGCTCCGTGATAGGGCACACCACAAAAAGGTACCTAAATGTAATTGACGAGTGAAATTTGTGATAAAATAGATAAGTGCCAAACATTACAGCTCAAACATTTAAAGTCGAACAATGGACTACAGTGAGTAAATGTACACATCACACTATCGGGTAAAAAACGCATTTGTCACAAACCTGTGGTTGTAGTGCCCATTTAAAAAAATTCCGCTTATCGTCAAACAAGTAAGAAGATATCTGGACTTAGTATCCAAAATCAATGAATTGTTTTGCTGACGATTTCAGTACATGAAAATATCTGCTGATGTAGCATAGTCTATAGTGATTGCTACGAATATCTTTTAGGTAATCGCACAATGGAGAACAGCTACTATCTTCTCCAAACAACAAACTATGTCTCATAAAATAAAGAGCCAGCTTATGGTAAAAAGAGAGTTAAATTCCTGTGAGGGAACAATCTGTCCACACATGTGGGGTGGTTACGCCAGGTGCTTAGAGAATACCATGGTCAACCCGACCACATCCAACCTGAGGTGACAGCGTGGGCCCCAAATCAGCTAATTACAACTTGAACGCAAAAGTCCCCAGCAATATGAGCAACCCGAATTCCTTGGTAGCCACGCTGCCTAACAGCAAACATCAGGCCATGCAAAGCATAACACGGTAGTAGGCGTGAGTTCATTGAGTTGTTTAAGGAAAACTACCAAGGAATAAAATTGCTTAGCTTTTGTACCTGTGTACTTGTGGTCCTCAAAAATCCATTAATGATTCATGGGTATCAAAGTGCCTCAGTTTGAGCCAGCACAGGTCTATACGCGTAATCCACAATGCCTACTGCTTGTTGCATTCTGGTAAGAGAAACTTTGTTTTTGACAACATAAGAAGTTATGAACGTTGTGAGATGGAAATTTAATGCTTCAAAATTTTCACTTTCAATTCACCTTTAAAGGAGAGCAATTAAAATTAATTTGAGCCATTACTCCCGAAAATTTCAAAAGCATTCCCGATCGCATTCGGAATTAGACCATTCGGGGGAATTTGGATGGACTTGATACCAGGTGCGGGCAGAACTAGTAGTGGTTTGCACACAGGGAAGAATTATTTGCTTTTTATGTATTCGATTTATAATTTGGAGCATCGTCTAGAAGTATCAGCACACACACACACACGACAGGCTGTCACCCTGCACTGACCGCGTGCTAGAAGCCTGTAAGTAATCTACTTTTACTAAATAACTGCATCAGCATATATTTCTGATGGACTTAATCAAAAATTGGGGTGAGAATAATTAAATACGCCTCCCTCAATTCAATGGATTGAGCGCTTAATAATTCGTAGGTTGTTCAGTTTTGTAATACAAGCCACAATTAAATGAAACAAGTCTTCCATGTAAGCGTCACCTATGCTATCATTGCTTAACTACTATACAGCTGATGGCCCCGCACGGTTAGCAGTAATTAAGAGTGACCTTTCGGTGTACCACTCAGTTATTTATAAAGCACAGAAAAATATGAATCATTTGTACAGGTAAACTTTAATGTTTTCAAAGATTAACCTGGGAGAACAAGTACCAATTTCAATATCAAAATGCATGAAGAAGCAATTGTGCATTAGTGATCAGCTGATAAATATAACTACGGCGGGCATTTTTCCTCTGTGAGCAATGAACCTATGCCGAGTCGTACTAATTCGGATGCCAATTTTCCGGAACGGTGCATATCAAGCAGAATGTCGCATCCGCCGATAAATTCTCCATCAAAAAAGACCTGTGGAAAGGTGGGCCAGTCGGAGAAGGCTTTGGCCCCCTCGCGGATTTCCTCGTCGCTGAGGATGTCAAACGAGGAAACAATGGGATGCCCCGTAGACGCGTCGTTTTTTTCCAAGACACCATGGGCCTCCAGGATGCGACAAACAGCGTTGGAAAAACCACAACGAGGTTGCATCGGAGTGCCCTTCATGAGTACCACAATCCGAGTGCGAGTGGTTAATTCGACAAGGCGATCGTGCAGCTCTTTACAGAGAACTGGTGCACTCGATTTATCCGAAAGAGGACGGGCAGAAAATAGGAGTCTAGGCGACGCGTGGTTGAACAGAGAAGTCTACGAGTGAACAAAAGGGACAACATTTAATGAATTTAGAAAACTTAAAAGGAAATTTGTTTTAAAGCTGGGAAAAACTGCGCCATAGATGCAATATTTGGAAAATGTAAGTAAACAAATTTGTATTAAAGTTTAATATAATCATGTTCATGTATTACACACTTTGAACTTCATTTAAAAAAACCACCAGATTAATTCTGCACTGAAACTAAACCACCTTCCAGCAATTTACTCATACTGAAACCTATAGAGTTCAATTTTAGTCAAGTTCAAGACCGTTACACGAGAATCGCCCCCAAAATAACCAAATCTAATGCAAATCAGTAATTTACCTAACAAGGAACATTTTAAAAATACCGCATGTCACAATGAAAATTTTTTGGGTCCCATGACTAAAGTCGACTTTTGATCCGCGATATGAATTTACAAAAAACCTGCCTAAGAAATGCATTTTTTTATAACAACAACTAAATCGAGGCCATAAATATTGTACACTGAATCGGGTAATAACATTCTTCATTTTTTTCTGCAGCTACTATCTAAAACAGCCCAGAATCGAAAACAGGGAAGAACCTATGAAAGTTCGCTCTTGACGTACTTCGTTATATTATTACGTGAACAATGGGTAGTCAATCATTGTCATTGTTCACACAATTCAAACATTCCTATAATAATAGTAGAATAAACATATCAAAACGGAGTCAAAAACTATCTCCAATTTGGAGGTCGGGGTAGATGCTATTCCGACAGACATCTTGTCTAAGGGTACTGACGTTTTCCTACTAAGAGGAAATATCTAGAACATAAGTGCTCCAAATTTCCACCCAAGAGAGAATGCCGAGGGAATAAAATCATCAGATCGCTGCAACTAAATTATCGTGAGCCATGGTTACAACAGAATTAAAAGTCATGGGGAAGTTGAAAAGAGGCTGGAGGCGATCTGCCAAAAGGACGCAAATCAAGCAACTATTTCGAGCGTGTATAGGCGTGTAAAAGAAGGCCAACAACCTTCAACTAAATCCTTCAGAACAAACGACAAGAAAGGTCAAACATGGTGGAAATTTCCGATTACGATAACACTCTTTTTCCAAAAAAAGGAATTCTGCCCACCATTACATCCCACTTTTAGCGAATTAAATGAGTCGTCAAATGTACAAAATAGGTATTGTTTACGTAGACAGGATATGGAAAAATCCTGTTAGATGGAAAGCCGGCGGAATGTTGTCTAAAAATAAAAGCAAACCGGACATTAATCAAAGGGGTGCTAATATGTGGATTCATTTGAACTAGATGCTTCATTCAGAAAGAAAAATCGGCGCAGGACAGAGAATGATGACCACGTGTATAATTAGTATATTTTTTAAGTTAGTTAGTTAGAAAAGTTAGTTGTGCGAGATCATGACTATGTGACCACGGCGCACCCAATCATCAAGACACAAAAACTGAAATTTCTAGAGTTTTATGACTAGGAGAGTGATGACAACTAATCAACCAATTGTAGGTAGAAATATTAGACCACTTGTTGAAAGGACTCTACGACACATTCGTTAAACCAGTACAAAAAGACAATCAATTTTACGATACATTGATACCCTTACCTGGGAAATATTAAGACGGGTGGCAGAAGCAATTAACGAGACCCTCCTTGAAGCGATTCGTACCACTGACAGCGACATGAGGCGGAGCTTTGGAAAAATACGGAGGAACATTGACAATCTTCTAAAATCACGAAAGAAATCACGACTTTTATGGGTCCTTTGTTTAGGAACACATTATGAAGGTACTCATTGGTTGTATGTGTAATTGGTGCAATCGTATACCCAGGTAACACATCACAACGGTAGTTTAATGACATTGAACTTTGGCGTTGCGGTGTATGGTGTAACAATATACAAGTAAACGCCTGACTAAAATAATTGTTGGAATATTGTCACGTACTGTCTTCATCAAGGTGATAATATACCTTCCCCAGAAGCAACTTCGCTGAAATCACAATTAGTGGCATCCTGATTGCACATCTAGATCTGGTCATGACGTCTCTTGCTTAAAGTAAATAACAGTTTATCTCAAATGATTGTTCGCTCCTATTCTTTACTGCCGATGAGAAAAAAAAATACAACGAAGAATTCATTGCCAAATTCAAATTTACTTTATGTTGAAATTCTGTCCAAAGCTACATAGAAATTAATAACGGTGCAAGTCCCAGTGCCTGCATAACCTTGGGAGAAAAAATTTGTCTCACACAGAAAAGCAATTAGGTGATGGCTATAAATCACGTCTTCGATAAATTGCATTAACGAAGCCGCCCATTTGGATGTTCTTGTGCTTGACTAAATCCAAAACAACACAATCAAGCGCACACGATAAGCCTTGAAAAGTTCCGAACAGATAAAAAACACCACATGTACAACCTGAAAATGATATTGCTCAAATAAACAAATGAAGCGAACGTCCCAAAAGCACCAAATGAAATGTACGTTATAGATTCTCCTACTTATCTGTTCATGCATTATGACGATGTAGGAATCGAAACTGACAAATACTTTGTTGGACAATTTTAAAACCCCAACAAACTCATGGAAAAATTTAAGAAGTAGAAACAAGGAAGCTTTGGCAAAAACAATCTTAAAACTAAGGTTAGTTGAGTGCACTGCCCCCCCCCAAACTGAAAACGCTGCGACGGTTATGCTCGAAACGACCACAAGCTACAACAAAACGACAGGCTGAGTGTCGAGGCCGCGGGATACGTCATAAGAAGCTTGCAGTTTTTAATAGTTTTGACTGATTACATTCTCGACGCATTTGACAGTGCCTCCACGCCACGGTTAAGAGCAGTGGTCAGACATCGCCGAGAGTTGCATCGCCCAATTACATGCTGCTAGTTAAGCACAGCTGTGAGTGAAAACTCCTAGGTCTCAACCAGAGTAAACGGGCGGGCATTTACAAGATTGTGTCCTGCTTCAACTGAAAATTACGAAAAATCGAAACGCACTAATAATGGTCGAAATAGAACAGTTTTCACTAATTGATCTTAAATATTATACAGAATGGAAGATGCTAGCATAATGAGCTTTAGTCTGAGGGCGAGAAGGAATACAAGAATACCTAGGGCAATACCTGGAAATGAGTGCACCAATGCACAATGACAGCTGTTTCATAGCTTTCGTATTCCCACAAAAAAGGGCTGCGTGCACACAGTAAACAGGGCAAAAGCAAAACAAAGGAGGGAACCACACGAACATACTGAAACGACTGTAGATGAAGGTGGTGGATTTTGACCAGGCACTAAGCATTCCATGCGTCTATATGTGTGAGCAGTGACTCTAAAACCACATAGGCGAATTAACCTTTTATTTGCACGTTTTCAAGCTCACACTAAGCTATTGATTTTCCCGGGGAGTTGGCAACCTTGTCCATTTCGTGAGCAATGATCCACACTCCTCGAATATATAGTATAATTAAAATTCTTGGTACAGGAGCTGACGTCAAAACGTTTGGCCGGCTTAGTGGCACTATTAAAAAGTAGCGAAACAGTAAACCTTTGAATTCACTGTTTCATACTTTCAATAAGAGAAAGTATCAAAGCCCAGAGCACACCGCTTGTGTAAATTTGGCATTAAGTAATATTTTTATGATAAAGTAAGCCTGATACTTTGACCAAAAGGCAGCTAATGAGGACATTAGAAAATTCTATTTTCCAAAAGTAATTATCTACGTGAAAAGTCACCCGTGCACACCTGACCACAAAATTCGTTACCATAAATTGTGGTTACCCGAACAAAAGTAGACAAACACACTTCACCAAAAAGAGTTACATATTAATACCACGAATAGGATCAGATACACCACCAAGTATAAAGAGCAGGCTTAACAAACCACTGAACATGGTCGTCATAGCAAAACGCACATCAGCGATTCGTCAATTTTGCGAATCCCATGGACAGTACTAGGAAATCCCAAGTGATGAAAATGTATTTTCTTCCCCCATTTTGCTTGACGCGTGAGAAAGAGCTTTGCAGGGTCATGTTTTTGCTTAGTTGGTCATAACGTGATAGATAAGTCCTGACAAAAGAGGCGTTGAAATGACGCAAGAAACCACGCCACTCCGATAGGTATAACAACTGGTTAAAAGAAAACTTAGTCTAGAGTAAAAAATTGCTAGTGCGTGCAGCTTTTCGAATTACACGGTAGGGGGGGGGGAATGAAGTTAGACGAATAATGGAGTTAAACTTTAAGGTCACCTGCGGCTAGAATTCGTGAATAATGCAGAAGAGAATAACAAGGAAACATCAAGCAACAAAACCGCCTAACAAACAAACAAACGAAAATGATTCAAACACCAAATAAGACGCAAATCTTTATATAGTTTCTTATTAAAAGCTATCGTAATCGCGCCTCCGAAAAGGCTTGGGTCAAAAATACGACGGACAACATTTGCCTCGTCATCGATGGAACAAGAGAAATGCCGAGAGCGACTGTTGTGTAAACAGAAAGTAGCACAAAGGTTCGAAAATTGAGGAGGTGGATTCCGTATATTAGTATGCGTAATGAGGCGATATTAACAGTGACACATCACCAAGACGATCACGCGGGTTTAGGCAAATAATGACGCGGTTGAAAGGGGGTAAAATGGGAAACGGGGGGGGCGGGCGGGCGGGCACTGGAGATGTGCACAAAGCGCTTGACTCGCAAACATAGGGTTGAAGTCGCGTACGGTGACGGTAAAGAGGCTAGAATGTAGAAAAAAGACAACTTAGCACAGGAACGTAGTTCACTTTGCACACATGTGTCAAAGATGCTCCCATACGATAATGAGATGCATACCTCGAGTCGGTAAATGTAAACAGTATTTCATCAAAACACTTTAATTTTTTCAAAACTTGAATTAAATTGATTGCTTGTACGAAGGTACAATTTACATGGTGTTATAGTGCAGGAGAACACAATGGGAAGGGTTGTCCAAATTTCTTTTCTATAAGCGATGAAGGCCAATCATCTGAATTCATACAAAAACCTGGATCGGAGGTTTACTGAAGGGTAATGGTGATTGGAACGTTAGCTGTAAACTTGAATGCTTTAGAAGCGCTGACTAAAAAGCCTGCAGATTCAAAGTTCTATGACTAAATGACTGACACCGAATGAGTGAGCAAGACACTTACCTGGCTAATCATTGGCCGCGATAGTGACTAAAGGCATAAAAAAAGGCATGAAACATATGGCATAACATTCTCAGATTGAAAACTGCTTTTAGCATGTCTAATGGTTTGACGGTGACTCTAAAAGTCGCCACGTACTGATTTCCACTAGATTAAATGCGCAAGTTCTTCATCGAACGTCACTTACTTTGTAAACAGCGACATATTATTGGGTTCTAGAAAGAAAATAAAATGCTAAAGAACCGAGAACACTGAGGGTCAAATGATGACTGACATTAAATCCACAGTTGTTTGGCATTTCAATGAGATTACACAGAGTTGCATCGTGTTCTGTATGCATTCCCGCTTTAGTGATACACATTGTTAGGAAAATTCTGGGTTTTCGAGTAACCTGCTGTTACTTCCGGAATCGCAAGTGAAAATGAGATTAAATAAGAGTATACTTGAATATAGACGTTAGCATAAAATAATACCTACTTTGTAGTACAGAAAGTTAACCGAATGCGAATATTAGTGAGACGTAATTAAGTAAGGGTATTTCCTGTTGACTGATCAAGGACGCATGTGCAGTTGCATGATTGTAACGACCGTTCAACTTGAATTAAGGAAGTATCAACCTTGACTAAACCACCGCAATGAAGACAAAAGATCCACTTCTCATCTCGCGTCAAGATGGGACCATCAAGTTGGATGACTACAAAAGGTACCAGCGAAATAGACACAATCCGACGACTTGCGGGACTATCAGAGGCTAATTTGACGCCTCCAATTCAAATCTTCAGGCCTTTCTAAATTCTCTGAACAGCCATGGACTTTCGAATCTACCCAACGTCACTTTTAACTGCAAAGGGGCTCCCAAGACAGTGTTGTTTCACGGCCCTCATCCCCATGACAAAGTATTCAACATTGTTGACGATTGCTTGGTCGTGAGGTTAGCCATGTCTGAAACCACATAGTACCATTCATGTTCACATCATTTCAAATTATTCAATAGATCAATTGTTTGAAGAAATAAAAACATTAAAGAACAGGGACTAAATCGGATGGTAAAAATAACCTAAAGCTCAAATACGAGTTTTATTACCTGAGGATGGTAAAGAACAGCAGGCACAGCGATAGGAAACTGTTAAGAGCCAATGCGTGAGGTGAAGCAAAATGAATCGGAACTAGTTAGGATAGGCCCCTTCGGGAATGGAGCCATTGTCACCAAAACTCAACACGCTTTGACGACTGAGGCTTTGGCGACTACCGTGGTAGCTGAAGCGCTGGAAATACGGCTGGTCGAGAAAGTCAGAATAGACGCTCTTCTCAGGAGGTGTTACAGCCACGTTCTCTCGTTGGAATTCATCGGGAATGTATTTAGTATCCATATCACCATTCACGTCTGGCTTCCACGGTGGTGTGATGTCCCTGTTGAAACAATATGATTGACTCAGACAGCACCTAGGTATGGGCACTCAAAGCTGGTCTCTAGCATAAAAGCGAGAATCATTCTATGGCGCTGTGTGTAATTAGGTAATATAAAACTTGTTAGGATAAAAATTTGACAACGCACAGAAGGAAAGACACCAGTAGAGTGATGAAAGCAATTATAAATTTCCAGCTGTACTAAAATTAATGTTGAACTAATATTCAGGATATCCAATGGTTCATTACCCATTTTAATGACTTTTATAAATCACAGAATACTACGACCTTAGCTAATAACGATAAAACAACGACGACATAGAGAATCTACATAAACGTAACGAGCATTTCAACGTGGAGGGATTCAGATGCATGCAGTTTTTTTGTTATGAAGCATTGAATGCCCTGCGCAATGCGTTTTGCTGTCTTTTAAACTACACTCTGCAGCGATAACAAGACTGCCTACTTTACACTTACCAAATGGGTGTAAAATTAAGCTTATATAAACAAATAAAACCCTCAAACCTTACTAATGGCCACACAATTTCGTTGGCACGTTGCCACATACGGTCATTAAAGGGCAGCGAAACCTGACAAGGATTTCAAAAACGCTAAAATGCGCAGCAGGTTTGAGGCGAAGGAAAAACAGGTAAGGGTAAATGTCAAAAAGTTGCAAGAAAGAGAGAACTTATTTCACTTAAGGCGATAACTACCACAGAAAAAAACTAGATCCACCAGAAAACAATCGCTGTTTGGTGTGACTTGAGTTCTTTCTGACGGTAAGTAGCAAGTAGCTGCTCAAAGTCAAAACAACTGTTTCCATAAAAGGGCGTTATAACAGTACTAGTTCAGTAACCAGAAATTCAAATGAAATCATGTAAATTCGAAAACCAAAAAGAAGTCAATATTCGTGAGACAAAAACGTGATTAGCTATGATGGAAATATGGCCGTACTTGCGTATCAATCTGTCCCATGAGATGGACTCGAAGAAAGGATGCACCATTACTTCGATGGCGTCCGCCTTTCCGCCGCCGAGGCGCGCTGAGGGGTCTTTCATGAGCAGACGAATAAGGATATCACGTGCCACCGGACTCAAGTTCTCTGGAACCTTAACGTTCTCCTGAAAAAAAAGCATTTCCGGGGCTTCAAGGCACGACGACGACGTAGGGCACAAATAACGTTCGCATAAATATTCTTGACAAAACAATTAGTGCTACTATAGTGTGATTTCTTCCGTAACAAGTACTGATCAAAAATTACAACCAGATTTAAAATGAAATCTGCACAGCAAAAACCGGCTCAACAAATACTTCTTAAATGTCGCTTACGATTGTCACGAGGTGGTCTTCGTCTCCCTCCAAAACACCCCAACAGTGATCATAAAAGTGCCCTTTGAGTAGATGTTGTGAAACCCCAAGATTTTCAAAACCCCGATCTTACATTTTAACTAAATTCCCTCGATTTGCTGTGCGCGCAAACTTGGGTTTGAATCTATGCCGTTCGCCTTATGATTGACGGTACCTAGACTGATTAAGTCACCGATAAGCTGACCATCTGTCAGAATTTATTGTTGTACTTGCATCAGTGATGAGGGAATGTCGAAGATAACTGATGAAGTAATAAGAAAATAAAGCGAAAAAGGCCAATCTGATTAGCAAAAAAGTGGATTTTCAAAGGCTTGTCTCCTACACGACGTACAATTGATAAACGTAAATGTGTCATTGATTGGCTTTCACAATAGTACTCATTTGAAAAACCCAAGCTATTTTAACAGCGAAAATGAAAAACCATTAATCACAACTTTGATGACTCCTGTTATGGTTTTGTAGGATACGATGCAAAATATAATAGTAAACAAATAGTAAGCGCAAAGCGTGCCTGCAGGATGAGCTCGAAGAGGATTTCGTGTTCGTTTGAGTAAAAGGGGAGGCGGCCACACATCATCTCATACATGACAACGCCAAGGCTCCACCAATCCACAGACCGTCCATAGTCATTATCCAGGAGCAGCTCCGGAGCCAGGTACTCGGGTGTGCCACAGAATGTCTTTGTAGTCGAACCGAAGCCAATATCTTCTTTACATAATCCGAAATCTGTTATCTTTATGTGACCGTCTTTGTCCAATAAAAGATTTTCCAGCTTTAAGTCTCTAGGTGGCGAAAGAGACATGCAATACCAGATCAACCAAAATTCTCTTAAATGTGATGATGAAGCATTATTAAAACAACAGGACAAGTAGGTTAGAGATTTGGTAGTGCTAATAACGCAAGTTACATTTTACTGTCGCAGGACAGTGATGTAATTAAAGAATTCAGGGAATCTGTCAGTTACACTTTATGTGGAGATGAGGATAACAGCTAGTAAAAGCACCTCGAAAGAAAGGGTAATTAACTATAAAGGAGTTGGAAAACCCTGCATAGCCCATGACTACCAAGAACGCTTGATGGGTCCAGACAACCAATAACGGCATCTCACCTGTATACTATATTCTGGCTGTGAAGATAGCCAAGGGCACAGGTGATTTCTGCGGCGTAGAATTGGGTCCGCTGTTCCGAGAAGACGCGTTCTCGTGACAAGTGAAAGAACAGTTCACCTCCATTACAGTATTCCATCACGAAGAAAATATGATCCCTTGTGGTAAATGAATACTTCAGCTGCGTCATGAAGGGGTGGTGGTTAAGTTGAAGCACGCGGTGTTCGGTTTGTGTGTGGCCAACCTCTTCTTTCTTTAAAGGAACACAACATTTACAAACTACACTCTGTGTCGGCATGAAAACATGACAACTTGGTTCAGAGTTGCGGAGCTTGACAAATTAGTACATTAATTAGAACCAAGAAATTTGGCAAAATGTGTAATGCTTTAGATGTAATCATAGAGAGCCTTTTAAAGGTGGGATAAAATACACCGAGACTATTTGCATCAAGACGTCGCATGTAAAGGGAATGCAAACACAACAATGACGATGCTTTGTGGAAATAATCATAAACTACTGAACAGGGGCAAGGAAAATTTCGATAAATTTCCATGGGTTTAGGTGGCCATTGCAAGTTGGCATCAAAGACACCTATTGGAGAGTTTTGAAAACATGATTAGGTCACTGATAAGAACCTGTTCAAAGTTACCGGACGTTATTTTTTTCGTTTTGCAAAAATGTTTAATGGGTAATAAATGCAATGAAAAAATGCAGTTCCCAAAGGAACAGATTCATGGCGAATGCGTGCAAACAACATCCATTCCAGAACCAAACAACTTTTGTTCAGAGAATTACATGATGTTACTGCCAGGTAACAAGCCGTGAGTGACGCATTTACCGGCAAGTGAATAAAAACGCTGTACTTAGCTCCAGCTTATAAATAAACAGGTTCTTTTTAATAGATAGCTCAAAAAAGTGAGCGCCCGCCGCCAAACACCAATGTGTAGTAAATAGAGACTGCCACACCTTTTGTCTTTGAGCAATTCTGACGTGCCGTACGAATGTATTTAAGAACGGCACTTTCGGATCTCCAAGTAGGATTAAATATGGAACGAATGAATGAGCCATAATATTTGAAACCTAATGTACTAATTAGACGGTTCAGTCAGCTTCGAAAAAAAACTTGATGCTCAACTAAAGTAGCACCACCACCTCCCCCCCCCCAAGATGAGTCAGTCGTTATATCGCAGTCGGCCAAAACATCATTGGCCGTGTTGGGGCTGGAAAAACTTCTAAGATGAGTCAGACCGGGAGTAACGGTGTCGCCTGTAAAAACGTGGTTTTGACTACTTCAAAACGGGCAAAACAATATACTGGTATAGCTTTGTCTCGAGTGGATTTTAGGCATAACTAGAACGTCGGTGATTTCGATGTTTACACAATCCCAATATAGATCGTTTGATCTGGTCTCACTTTACCTGCCTCTGTCCTATCGGCATAGAGACACAACAATTGGGGCACTTGATAATTGCCTTTCAGATTTTCTGAAACTACAAAAGATTTATGACTTCAAATTGACGAGAGATCCTTTAAAACACGAACCCACAGGTTGTGCAGCATCCTTTTCAATATAAATGAAAACAGTGATTAAAATCACTAAATGGTGCGTGGATGTTTGTAGCGCGAACCAGCAATAAGATTAGATTTGTTGGAAAATTCGTAAACCCATACATTAAATTATGTCAGGACTTATTAACGGGCACCATATGTAACTTTGTTGAAGGCATTTAAAAAAGTTTAGAGAACTGCTTGTTTTAGGTGAGGACTATTTAGGCAAGTGCTATGCTTTTGTGAGGTCCGGACACCACGAACCGATTTACTCGACCTGCAAGTACTTTAGTCATAAGGTAGACAAACAAAAGTACTGCTAGTAAAAAAGTTTGCACAAAAACAGAACAAACAACATGCTACCTTTTTTACCTAAATTTTTTAAATCCTCAATTTTGGTATTAATCATTATTTTAGAACGACGATATGAGGTATGGTACGGGAATCTGGATCCCTGAGTCAATAGGTGATTGCGCAGTCACATACCCACAAGGACGTGCCTTCGTGCATAGTCACAGAACGGGACTAGCAGCGCTGGTCATGGTCATAAAGTGCACTGTATACCGAATGGAAGATTTTGCATAAAACAAGCGGAAGACGATAAACATTACCTGAAACAATTGTTACTTTATACGACCGATGAACATATTCCGTTTTTTGTTGGTTGATACACATTAATAACTTCAGGTCGAAGCAAATTTATAGCGCCACATGACTACAATTCGTCAATAAACCTTCCAAGAGTGGGTTTAATGAAATAGTTACTTCAGCCTTCCATATGGTTTAGAAGCATTCTAGCTCCGTAAACCCTAGGACTACACTAGTGCTCTCACGGAATTTATTTATCATTGGTGAAATATACGGTGGCTGAAAACGGTGATTTGATTTCGTACACACAACTAGTTTGGAGTAAACCAACCTGAACAAGCATTTTGACTGCAAGGCGGTCTGCTACAATTGAGAAGGAACAGTGGTGCACGATTTACATTTGACGCATCACCCGAATCTGGTTGACCAATAGACTGAGTTCCTCCGTAGGACGCATAAGAACGGTTTAATTTCGATTGCACTGAGCCGATTGACTTTTACAGTCATACAAGGCTCCAGACTGTTTTGCTTTTAAGCTAAGAAATAAAGTTTTTGAAACAGGTGAACACGAACGCTATTGCTATCAATTTTCCGATGCACACTGTTTCACCCTATCAAACTGACGTTTGAAATACTGGTCTAGATCGCATAAAAGTCGATCAGTTATCATTTTGTGTGAAGTTGAATCGACTCGTCCCTGGGCAGACGTGTAGATTAAATTCCCGAATAAAATAATAGCCCAAATAAAGCACAGGTCTAAAATAAAGATACTTTCAGTCACAAATTTTGCGCATGAATTTTGACTTGTTATATACACCAATCAAGGAAGCACTGCGAAAAGATCGTACGTATGTCTACTATAAAATTTGTTTCCAGATAAAGGATATTTAAACAGTGCCACAAACATCACTTAAACAACTGATGCGCTTCCCACCAAACCAGAGCACAAATTAAGGCGCCTCGGGCACGGGAGGATGTGAGTTCATACCGATACACTTATTGAAAAGCGCCGCTTAGCAATATTTGCTGCACGTGACTAAGTTGTGCGTGTGTGATCTCGTGGTAATAAAGATCCGCATGCATTCAATTTGGAACCTGTATAAACGGTTAGAAATTAATCAGGCTCGACCAAATTATTAAGTCAATAATATGTGATGAACGAACCTTATTATCAAATGCAGATTTGTATTGACTTAGCCTGTTTAGCTTTGTGGTCATCCTGTGAATTATACTCGCATTTTTGTACAAAAATAGGACAATGATTATAAAAACTTCAAGGCACCACATCACCAAAGTAACTGCTACCAACGACTAGAACCGTGCTTGCGACTCAAGATATTCTAGTGTCACTGATGCACCCGTTTCCGAAAGCCTCATATACGAGTATCATCACATCTGCTACCTCGCTAACATCATGGTAGGTATATTAAGGTAAGGATCTCCATCCAATGATTTCATCACCAACTGAAATAAATTAGCATATTGGAAAGAAGATTATTTGGTTGCGAAAAGAATTTTTTGTGCTGTTTGAGTCTATTCGGTGATCCAAACACAAAGGAGGATGTGAGGTCTTGCGATTTAAGAAGACAAGTAGTTACATCGCAATCATTACACCGTAAAAGATTATTTTCAGGATGAAAAACAAGGAAACGTATCAGCTTTTTTAACATTCGTAAATTACGGATCGAAATCAAACTGCGGAATACCCAGCGGATAAACGACTCTCAAAATTGACAAAGCTTATAAGTGCCAATTTACTTAACCCATGTAAAGTAATTATTATTGATATGAATTCTCTTAAAAAAATTTATACTAATCAACTAAACAAAACGCCAACAATAATAGGGTTCTTGCCAAAAATACACAAAAAAATCTCCAGATCAATTTCATTACTAAAAAAATCCCTTTCGTTTGCGAAATCATTTGATACACTGCGCAGTAGCCTGAAAACTGCGCATAAAAGACTTCGTACGACCAGATAATATTGGGTGGCATTTTATCAGACGATTTAGGTTCGTTTAGCAATCCTAGATTCATATAATGAGAGGATTTCGAATCCAATATTTCAAACATCCTACTTTAAGATAATAAGAAACTGGAAGTAGAAAAGCTTTTGTACACTACGGAACTGGAAAACAGAGAAATAACAAAGCGCCAGGCTGAAAAATTGCGTAACAGATTACATAAACTTGCACATTTCCTAAAATAATGTCCGATTAGAGATTTTCTTTATTTGCATTAAGGATTTCTGCTTAAGGACTCGTAATAAAAATAAAGAAAAGTCGTGATTAAGAAATACATTCGTGGAAATAACCTCCGTTGAAAGTGGTATACACCGCATAGCGACTTAAAAACTATGCGATATATATTTATAAATACCATCTAAAACATTTGCAATAAAAACCGATGTTACGTTTGGATGACTCGATAATCACCTTCCAACTTACCTCGATCAAGACGGTTTTCTTTAAGATTTTCATCGCATAGAAACACCCGGATTCTTTTTCCTTACAAAGCACCACTTTACCGAAAGTTCCCTTGCCAAGCACCTTCAAAAGTTCGAAGTCTTCAGTGGAGTAGCGCTTAGGTGGCCTATTGAGTAAGAAAGTGCAAATAGTTCAGATATCGGAGGTATGCAGGTATCGGCAGATAAAAGCTAACGCATAAAGACATTGCATATGGACTAAGACAAATTTTGACAACAGCTTTGTAAGATCGTGAGGGTTAAAAACCACTAGTAAAAAACCAATCCCTATCGTAGTAATGTGTATTAGAAATTATCGTTTGTCCTTTTCATGATTTAGGACTAACAAGTTTACCTCTGCATCTCATTCCTTGACTTAAACGCCTGTTCGATCAGGCTACTTGAAATCTACATTTGCACATGTAGCAGCCACAATATGGACCGTAACAGAAGTATGTCTTTCCATCAAATGTAATTAAAAATAAAAAGAACGACGATGGAATTGATACAACTTTACCAAAGGTAAATTGTGATTATGACACTGCAACTTAATCCAGTTTAACTATTCACTACCATTTTACCTTTGAGGAAGGTCGATGACAACGTCATCAGCAAGGTCTACTTTGTAAATACTGATCGGAGTCTCATTTTCAGAGCGAAGTCGATTGGCGACCATTTCGATAGCGCTGATCCATTCCTGGCGTTCACTCTCGTGCTCCACGAAGAACAAACGCTCAACCACTGTTGTCCACTGTAGACCCCGCATCAGAATAGTATAGGGCTTGGGTTTATTCAAGCAGATTATCTGACAGTCACGGACAGTGAAATTGTTCAGCGGCTGTTCTAAATTATCCTACACAAAAATTGCAGAATTGCCCTTGCATAACGAAAAGGAACCAAATTATCGGCAACCATTCCTTCATATTTAATTACAATTGGGATACCGTAATGTTAAACGGATTTATTAAAGGTCATGATTTGCATATTTTCAAAGAAAAAAAAACAGATTAAGAATATCTTGGAGCGTAATAAAAAATCAACAACGACCTGCCTTGAATAAACGCACTACCGAAATAAACAAGGAGCTCCACTATAAGTACGTAAGTCTGTGTTTATCCAGGAACATAAAAACGGTGCGATATAACAGATATGTGGGGTTCCGTCGAACTGATGTCCATTCGTTACTTTGACTTACCCGAGGGATATTTTTGTAACCGTAGAAGGTTCCATCCTCCCTAAGAATAAAATAACGACGCCGCCAGGTTTTGATGTGCTCCCCTCTCTTCATAAGCCAACCTTCCCGTACAATTTTCCTCGTCAAAGGCAGATTCCGAATTTGTAGATACTGCATTATAGAAGCAGGTGAGATGGAACTGGCCTGCTGCTGCCTAATAAGGTCAGTAGAGCCTGGCATTCCAACGGTCAACAAAGGCATTGAGAGAGGAGTTTGAGTGGCCGAAATGTCCTGGCTTGATCCAGCACCGGCAAAATTGGTACTTGGTACAAGGGTGCTAACTGTTGACGAATTAGAGAACTGCGAAACGTTGCACTGCATTTGGGATGAGGAAGCTGGCTGGTACTGTGCAAACGATGAAAAAGGGTCCACCGCCATTGGTGTCGATGTAGGAGTTAAAGTGCCCATAGGCTAAAATGATTGGAACGAAAATCTAGAAAGTTGCATTTAACCATAAAATGCAGGCGCCAAAAATTGGACGATAGAAACAACCGGATACGAACGTAACTTTAAATTTACACACACAATCGTGCTAAATGGGAAGCTAACATTAAAAGACGAAAGTAAAATGACACAATAGTTTATTGTAATGGTTAAGTATGAGTACAAAGCAGGAGGAAGCATATAGGTACTACGAAATCAAAATTTATATCGGAATCAATTTTGTTACTAGGCCAGCATATGCCTGGGATCCAAGTAGAACTTTCTTAAAACGTTGCTCAATATATTCCGGGTTCGTTAAAAAATGCCGTTAAATACAGTAATAACACACCACTACACGGTTTACGTTACAACAATAGAAAACGTCATATGAAAACATGGTAATAACAGGGTAAATCGGTACCGTGGAAGAGTCCACTGCTTCGTCCACCTGCATGTCCTTCAAATGTAAAATTTAAATTTATTAACAAATACTACGATTACACCGAGATGCGAGGGTTTGAAGAACACCACCTAGCCTAGCCCGAAGCAACATGTTTTAGTGTGGCGTCGGATTAGGGCGCAGACATGTTGGGCCACCTGGTCTCAGCCAACCCCGTGTCTCTCTGCGATCCAATGGC